TTAGAGGGATAGGGTTATGATTGAGTGCCTTTTTTAAATTAATAATAATAATAATAATAAATTGAAATGCCTTTAATTTGGTCTATACTCTCTATATGTTCAATTTGGGGAAAATTCGGTGGTTATCAAAGGTATCTTCCCATGTGCATGAAGAAAGCTACAAACGACAAAACGCATACAAATTAATTAAGCTTTTTCCTCTAATTAATTAGTTCCTTCCTCAACCACCACCACACATTTTTTTTTCTCTCATTGAAAAGTTCCTTTTATATACATGGAAGAATCATTTTCAAAGGACTAAAAACCAAGTTTTACAGTTAGTTGATGGGGACAGTTCTCCCACAGATGGGAGTGGTTTTGCAGTCAAAAAAACTTTGACAGTTCTTGGGAACTAATTCAATATGCGTAAATTAATTGAACGTAAAAATATTTTCATCGGTAGACTCATTTATTTTCCATAGAATTTTTCGTTACTTATATCAATATAGAGCAAGTTGAGCGTATAAATAATCCACAACTTTTATTACGTTCGACTTGCAAAATGAATTAAGCAAAAGTACGGTAAGGCCAAACCTCCCCTTGTTTTTACTTGTTCACAATCATGATTTTATTACATTATAATTAAAAGACCACTAGATGTTTTGTCTAGTTAAATAATAATTTATCAAAAAACAAAAAAAAAAAAAATTAAGATAAGATATATGCATCTCATACGTATTTTGAACTCGTAATTATAAATCTTGAACCTTTGGATAGCTTTAATCTCGTGCATACTTTTGTGCGTAAAATATTTTCTAGACTAACAAGCTAATTAATCAGCTCTCTTTCCAACCAATATTTAAAAAAATTCTAATGTTAATTGGAATTACCCATAATTCAAATTAGGTAAGAGATAAGAGTGTCTCCATAGTGCATGACAATTGCTTAAAAAGCAACATTTTGAAGATAATTTTATTAAAAGATGAAAAAAGAGAAATTAAAAAACAAAACCCAGTAAATCAGCTAGGAGTGGACAGCTTCCACATGTTCGTTTGGAATATGCATGAAATAACAAGAAAGCATTTGAATCGATTTTTGGGAAAATTCATAGGACCCATAATCTCATGTCTGGAAAAAGAAGGATTCTTGTCGGCCCATTATTTCATTTTTCCTATTTATTTTCTTTCGTTTGGATTTTACAACACAAAGTATGTTGAATCAATAATGCGTCCTTCAATTTTCTTATACACGTCAAGGAAGAAATGATTTATGAATCTATTCATAATACAATACTGTTTTCCATCAACAAAAATTGTGCTACTCCTTCGTCTTCAACCCTAGAGGCGATCTCATATTCAAATTTTGAATAGAAACAATTTAGAAATTTTTCGATATAAATAAAAAATTTAGTCAGACTTCAATAGATGAGCCTAAAAAATAAACCAAAAAGAAAATGATGGTTCTTGATAGCCTTCTCCAACAAGCAGCATCAATAAAATCTTATTTGTCTTGTATTTGCATGTTACATGAATGGCAATTTTTTGTTCCTTTGTGCCAACAATTATTGCAAAATGGAACTCGATGATCTAATTAATTAGACACAACTTTTAAGTGATATGATATATAACTACACAATTAATCAACCAAATATAATTTAGAGATTCTCCATGTTCGTTTTGTCTATTTGAGCCTGATTTTAGTCTATGATATATAATAATGATTAAATAACAAATTTGGTAAGAGAAGTTAAAAAACGAATATTTTTAGATAGCTCAATTATTTGAAAAAATATAGTGGTTAATGAGATGAGATTTTGACTATTTACCATAACTCCGCATGGACTAGAAAAAAAAAAGATTCAGATTTTAGGTCAGTCCTCTGTGCTAACAAACATTGTCAAATTTAGTAAGTGTCAAGTGTTGATGTGTCTTATTCAATCTAACCAACTTAACAGCCGTTAGGATACGTGAAATGTGATAGATGAATTGAAGACGTATCTAAAATTTAAATTATTGATCTGATAGAATTCATTAATTCACTAGTCTATACTCTACACCCAAAATTTTACTCCTTCCATTTTAAAATAGTAAAAAAATAAGTGAATTGTTGAGTCTTTTTTTATAGTTCAAAATAAGTGAATTGTTCAAACTTCAAAAGAGGCGTTGAATTTTATTTTTTTTCATTTAAGAATTGCTTGATAATATTTGAAAGGGCAAAAGTGAAAAGTGATACTCCTATTTATTTTATCTCCTAAACTTTTTTTTCTTAATGAATATGCATTACCTCAACAATTTCACTTATTTTGATATTGAGAGAGCATAATGTAAGTTATTCTACTTTTTCAAATTCAAGACCTCAAAACTTCTAGCATAAGTCAAAGATTTTTAGATGAGATTTAGATATGATTCCTTTTTCCACGCCTTCAAAAAAAATTCTATATTTGCAGATTCCTTCGTTGGCCAAATCCAAAGTAAACTATTTTCTTGATCATTTAAACAATTTTTTGGAACTAGAACTCCCTCCGTTTTTTAATATATCATTCTTACTATAAATAATTGGTTTATATTTTTTGTCATTTCATAAAATCATTACAAAAATTATAATATTTTTCCTATTATACCCTTGATAGTAAACTAGTTTTGAAAATAGATATATGACAAACCTAGGAAAACTAATAAATAATTAATGATCATTGTAATTACTTCATATATTGATTAATTACTCTCACCATTGCACTACTCTATAAAATATGATGTTATCATGTTTTTCTTTGTTGAAGTAGAACTAAAGTTCATGTCGATAGTCATATCTGCAACTATATTAAGATTAGGAATTTCTCGTCTAATTTTATTATAAATAACACTAGATTCAACAGAAATATTTAGATCAATTTGAAGTAATGAAATTTGAATTTTTGTGACATTGTCATATTTGCTTTAAGAGTTTATAAAAAAAATATTTTTTACACAAAATATGTAGGAAAGCTAAGGTGGGAAAAGTTGAATTTCTTTAAATTTTGGATCAATTCATCCTGAAAAAATTTGGCTCCAAAATCAAACTCAAAAATTTAAATAGTAATCAAAATGCATTTCAAAAATTGTAAAGTTACTTGGTTGAATTTAGCATATTTATCATTTATTGAATAGTTGACTTCGAAAAAAACATTAAATAAGAGAAGAATTGTAAACTTACTTAGATGCAATTAAAATCTAAAAAGATAACATATAAAAATGAACAATTACACACTCATTTCTTGATCTCTACCTAGTTGGCCTATGATTATTGTTTTTTTGGTACTTCGAACTTAAAACATGTGGAGATCCAAGAATACTATAGAACTTAAAACGTGTGGAGATCCAAGAATAAAATCCCTTCAAGATTTTGGCTACGCCTTTTAATTAGTCACTCATGCTACCTGCAAATTAGGCTGAATCTTGATCTATGTTAGTTTGGTGAGAACGTAAGAGAAAATTAATCAAGACCGTACAACTATAGAAGAGATTAAAGTATAAATAAAACTACTTTTGTTTGAAACTCCATCATAATATGCGCAAGTGTCACATCATCAAGGGATCAAAATTTTGGAACTACAACACATCATTATAGAGTTTTAATTGTAAAAGTTTCGATCGGTAAAACACTATGATAGAGTATTTTTGTGTTTAAGTTTGGAGTACATTTTTTTTTTTGATCCAAGTTTTATTTAATTTTCACATTAACAGGTGCTGTTTTTCTGTTACAATAACGAGTTTAAATATTTGACAAGTGGCTCAAAAACTGGGCATCTTCCATTCTTACTGTTGGGTTTTATTTGCCCTGAATTTCTTACCATAAATAGGTTTTCCTTTTAGGAAAAAGTTTTGGATTGGCTAGTCCTTTTCTTGTAGGAAAAGGTTTAGGACTCTATAAATAGAGGTTTGTTCTTTCTAACTTAATCAGCATTCACAATGTAGTCTTAAGGGCTTTGAGAGTTTTGGTTAGGGGGAGAATTTGTGGGTCACAAGCTTGATACGTTATCACTTGTGTGAACCTCCCATGTATTCCGAGAGAATTGGTTGAGGTTATTTCTTTCTATATTTTGTACTCTCATGTTTATATAGTGGACTGCTCATCTCCTTTGTGGACGTAGGTCGATTGACCGAACCACGTTAAATCTATCTCTTTTTGTATATTTCTCGTTTGTCTTCTTACTCATGGTCTTTCGAGATTTGCTTTGCTAGCTTCCGTGTTACACCTGCTTATTTCGATCCTAACACTTACCACTTCAAAATCTATATTTTTTAAAACATAAATAGAGGATAAATATATAATACATGTATATGTTATGCATGTTGGATAGACTGCAAATATTTTTGACCTAATTGCTAACGGTGTAAATTTGTATATTGAGGCTTCTATAAAGGGTTATTATATGCACTTTTACCTCTATTTTGTGCTTTTATCTTTTAAATTGTGTCCTCGTAACAAACAATTTTTCATGAAGCATAATTTTTTATTTTTACATTATAATATCTCACAAGTATATTCGGATACGACCCTTATTTTTTAAAGAACTTATGCTTCACAAGGCATAGACGCAATTGTCAAAGGACAATATCAGAAGGTACAATTGTATGCGTAATAAATGGTTTGTAGCCCAAAAGAATGAAGTAAACTTGTGGGTATGGATCATTTGAGCCCAAATTAGTCGTAAGAAGTCCAACCAACTAATTTGTTGTAGCCCAGTGGGTCAATTGAAGCTCCTTACGACATTTGTGTTCCTGTCAGCAGAATTTTCTCAGCCTCAGATTACTTGTACACCTCACTAACTTATCAAATTGAAATCATCAGCAATAATTTGAATGGTCGAAAACCAAATTTCCAAAATCAGTAAGAGCCAACTTCAATTTTGCTATAATTTCTTCTTCTTCTTCAAGGTATGCTCTTCTGATTCTTGAAGATTATAATTGCTCTCTTGTGGGGTTACTCAATCATCAATGTAATGTTTAGTTAAAATCTGAATTTTGGGTTGTTTATTTCCATCTGTTCTGTTGCTAAGTTTCTCTGAACAAAATGCCTTATCTAAATGTCTGGTCTTCAAGAACAAACTGCCTTATCTCTGAACAGGAGTTGGCTTCATCTTCTACTTCAGTTTTTACATGGCGGAGAACTGAAAGTTGGGTTCTTGCATACTCTCTGCCACATAATTCTACCTCTGATCATGTATCTACAAGGAATAAACCTAAGTTTAGAAATCAAGATTTTTGTTTGAGAACAGAATTCGTTCCTTTTCGCCCCCAAAAGAAGGATTCTTTTGCTTTGACACAAGCCTCTGAAGAGAAAGATATTCATTGTGATGTAGTAAAACAAAATTCACAATCTTTCACTAGTGGGGAAGGTGGGGTTGAGGGTTTCACTTGTCTTCAATTGGAGGAAAAGGGGGACTTGACTAATAATGTTGAATATGGTGATGTTGGAAGTGAGGAGTATGAGGCAGGGAGAGTAAAAGGCGAGAAGGTGGACGTTCGAGCTCTGGCACAGAGCTTGCACTTTGTCAAAACTGCAGATGAGGTAGATGAAGTTCTTAAGGATAAGGTTGAATTGCCCCTTCAAGTTTACTCATCTATGATTAGAGGTTTTGGTAAAGATAAGAAGCTGAACTCTGCTATGGCACTTGTTGAGTGGTTAAGCAGGAGGAGCAAGGACAATATTGGCTCTATTAGCTTAAATGTGTTCATTTATAACAGTCTTTTAGGCGCCATAAAAGAGGCGGGGAAGTATAATTTTGTTGATAAAGTCATGGAGGATATGGTTTCAGAAGGAGTGCAGCCTAATGTTGTGACGTACAATACTTTAATGAGAATTTATATAGAACAAGGTCGGGAACTTGAAGCTCTCAATCTTTTCAGGGAGATGCCAAAGAAGGGACTCTCTCCTAGTCCTGCATCCTATTCCACTGCCTTGTTTGCTTATCGGAGACTTGAAGATGGATTTGGTGCTATAACTTTCTTTGTCGAGACACGAGAGAAATATCAAAATGGTGAAATAGGAAACATTGAGGAAGAAAACTGGGAGGATGAATTTGCCAAGCTTGAGAATTTCATAGTTCGAATTTGCTACCAGGTGATGCGGCAGTGGCTGGTAAAGGGTGAAAATGCAAACACCAATGTTCTGAAACTACTAACGGATATGGATAGGGCTAGGCTCCAACTAAGTCGTGCAGAATATGAACGTCTAGTGTGGGCTTGTACTCGTGAAGAACATCATGTTGTAGCAAAAGAACTGTATAATAGGATAAGAGAGAGGGATACAGAGATTAGCCTATCCGTTTGCAACCATATTATTTGGTTGATGGGTAAGGCGAAAAAATGGTGGGCAGCTCTTGAAATTTATGAGGATTTGTTGGATAAGGGGCCTAAACCAAACAACATGTCATATGAACTGATAGTTTCTCATTTTAACATACTGCTGAGTGCAGCCAGAAAAAGAGGTATTTGGCGATGGGGTGTTAGGTTGCTGAATAAAATGGAAGAGAAGGGGCTTAAACCAAGCAGTAGGGAATGGAATGCCGTCCTTGTTGCCTGTTCCAAGGCTTCAGAAACATCTGCTGCAGTACAGATATTTAGGAGAATGGTAGAGAAAGGTGAAAAACCGACAGTTATCTCCTATGGAGCGTTGCTCAGTGCTCTAGAGAAAGGCAAGCTCTATGATGAAGCCCTTCAGGTTTGGAAACATATGATCAAAGTGGGCATCGAGCCAAATTTGTATGCCTATACTATTATGGCATCAATTTACACTGCTCAAGGGAAATTTAACATAGTTGATTCTATCATCAAGGAGATGGTTACTACTGGAGTTGAGCCTACAGTTGTTACATTCAACGCTATTATCAGTGGATGTGCTCGGAACGGTATGGAAAGTGTTGCATACGAGTGGTTTCAGCGTATGAAAACTCAAAACATAACCCCCAATGAGGTTAGCTATGAAATGCTAATTGAGGCTCTTGCGAATGATGGCAAGCCGAGGCTAGCATATGAGTTGTATGTGAGAGCTCTATCTGAAGGCCTGAGTCTTTCTACAAAGGCTTATGATGCAGTCATCTCGTCTACACAGGCATATGGTGCAAGTATTGATCTAAGCATTCTTGGCCCCCGCCCACCAGAAAAAAAGAAAAGAGTGCAAATCAGGAAAAGCTTGTCTGAATTCTGTAATATAGCCGATGTTCCTAGAAGAAGCAGGCCCTTTGACAGGGAAGAAATTTTTACTGCTCAGACAAAAGGAACATGATAAGCACAACTTTATATTGTTTGTGTGTGTAAGTCTGCTCTTGAAAATCCAACTCAAAGGTATACTACTCATTGTTTATATGTTGTGCTGCTTTCAACTAAGAGTATATGCTTCCTCTTGTGTAAAGCAACATTAGTTAATTGACTTAAAATGCAAAATCAGGCTGGTGCCATTTACCTTTTCACCTCTATTCTGGATTCAAGCATTCATCTTTTCTCTGGCACTTCCATTATATGAACCACTCCATTATATTATTATACAATGCCTCCCTTTATTTTGCGAATGAATTCAGTCTAATGTCTCCCTAAAGAGAGAGCTAGTTCAAAACTCAGCCGAGACAGAAAACACTAGCTGATTCATCCTAATCTTGGTGGATACAGTTTATTGGCACCTATTGCCCTGTGGAATTAGTCTAGGCACGCGAAAACTGGTTCGAACACCACAGTCATTAAAAAAAAGAGAAATGGATGCCTGGAAAGTTTCGTTCTTGATCCGCTCTGCTAATATTGTTCCCTTTGTACTGAAAAAGTTGAAACCCTTTAGAGTTGTTTCCATAGAATTTCAGGCTGACAGGTAATATGAGGAAGCATATTATATTCTTCTAGTACAAGTACCAAAAAGCTTGCTAGAATCAATTCCTTGCGTAGCTTCACTTGACAAATGTTTGATCTAGGTAGGTATTTATTGAACTAAATTTATTTTAGTCAGACTACTTGTTTTTGTCCGAAATAAATGTTTTTTTGACATTTTTCTAAATCAATTACTCTCTTTGTTCACTTTTAATTGTTATGTTGTGTTTTTCAAAAGTCAATTTGACTAGTTTTCACATTTAAATTAGATTACATTAATTCGATATTTTAAACAAAAATTTAGATATTCAAAAATTATACGAAAAGTACATAAATTCCAAATTTTCGCATATCAATATAATTAAAAAATATATCCTAAAATGTTATTATCGTTTAACTCTAAAAATGGAAACTATGACAATTAAAAGTGGACAAAGGTAGTACTCATTTTTAAAAGGGAAAATGATTTGATATACGTTAACAAAAGTGACTCACATATACTTTTACCGTTACATAAATGACATAAATAAAAAAATTCATGTAAGTTTATTCAATTCTTTTGCAAAGTTAAGGGATATATTTGATTTTTTTCACGCATGAGTTTTTATTTTTATTTTTTCAGTTCAACGAATAATTTAAATTTATTATTTTGATAATTAAATTTATTTTTTCACTCATCTTCTAATTTAATTTTATGAATGATGCCTGATTTTCTTTTGCAACTATGAAAAATAAACTACAATATAATCGGGAAAAAAAGTCAGAGAACTTTTTTCTTTGTTTATCGACTTCTTTTTCTTTTCTCATATTTTCACACGTGAAATCTAAACTTTCTGTTTGGAAGGACTCATTGATAATTGAATTTGGTGTAATTATACTGTCTTGTCTTGTTTGGAAGGACATGTAATTACTTGGTTAGCAGATAATTGATGTAATTGGAAGGGGGTGATTATACTCTATAATTCACAGGCAGAGGTTGTGAATTGCTGGTAATTACCACTTGATTACTTTTTATTTCTTTTTTTTATTTCTATTTTATTTTTTTTGTTTTAATTTTTTTTACTTCTATTATTTTAAGTTCTTTTTTTATTTTTATTATTCTAAAAATTTGTAAAAGTTTTTTTTAATTATTATTATTATATTTCATTTTCTTTTTATTCTCAACCTTACTTTACGTGATTCTATGTAATTTTTTCGTATTATCTATTTCTTTATGCCATGTTTATTTTCTCATTAGCATAATTTTATTATATTCTAATTTTTAAATTAAAATAGAATTTATTGTTAAGTAAGGTTATAGACTTACGTTTTCTTTATTAAGAAAAACTAAAACTAAATCATATTTATTGCTATGTTGAAATTTGTTATAAGAGTATTATGTTAAAATTTTTGTTTTGAATTTATAACTTATGTTATATTTTCAGTTTCATTTGTTTTAGTAATATTGAATCTACATTGCACGTCATTTTTTAATTAGAGTTGATAAATTATATTTTTGTCAAACATTTAATAATTTATAACATTTTATTTATATATTACTCTTTTTATCAAACATGCATTTCACAATATTCGTAGAACCTTCATACTTTTAGTTGTTACGATCAATTCAATTGAAATATATTAATTTGAAAAAATATAAATCAATTATTTTTTCATAATATTAGTTATAGAAAATATGTTTATTAATTAATATATTTTCAAAAAAGAATATATATCTTAAATATTTAATTTAATGTCATTTATAAAGTTTCTTATTTGTCTAGTATAAATTTTAAATAATTAATTTTTATTTTTAAAATTTATTATAATTTTATGATTGCAATTGTGCATCAAAACAGAACATGTGTAATTACATCGTGACATCCAAACATGATATATGTAATTATACTGTGATAACCAAATATATCAATGTAATTACTCCCTCCGTCCCTTTTTAGTTGTCCACTTTAGAAATGACACACAGATTAAGGCAACAATGATTAGCACAGTGAAGTTACAATTTTACCATTATGACAACTTTTCACTTCAAAATTACAACCACTTATTTGAATTCAAGTGAAATAAATTGGAGGGAAACAACATACACTTTTACAATTTTCAAGAAGTGTAAAAAAGGGTATAATAGGAAAATATTTGTTGTCCTTTCTTGATTTGTCAAAATGGACAACTAAATAGGGACAACTAAAAAAGGAAATATGGACAAGTAAATAGGGACGGAGGAAGTACTAGACTAGTACACCAATTTCAATTATGAGGTGACTTTTCCAAACATACCCTAAAATGGCGAGTGATGAATAGAAACTATGGGAGTACTAAGTTTTTTCCGGGTATTATATTACGACTTTCGATATCTAGCCTATTATTATTATTATTATATTAATTAGTTATATTTACTGAAGCAAGTGAAGTGGGTTAAAAGTCCAATCAGAACAATTATTTTATTATTATTATTATTATTATTATTGTTATTTATCTTTTTGGTGTTCCCGAGGACCAATTAGGACAACGACCAGCCAATTCTAGATAATATTTATTATTTATTCCGTCCACTTTTAATTGTTATAATTTCAATTTTTAGAATCAAACCATAAAAATTTTGATTAACATTTTACAATGTATTTTTCATCATATTGATATACACAAATCTGCAATTTATAGTACTTTTTGTATAGTTTTTGAATATCTATTTTTTTTATTTAAAATGTATTATTAATATAATCTAATTTACCTTTGAAAATAGTAAAATTGACTTTCAAAAACGTAACATGACGATTAAAAGGAGACGAAGAGAGTAATATTTCTTTCTCCATACATATGGTAATTTTTTTTTCCGGAACTCTGATATTATTTCATTTTATAAAATGTTTTCACAAACATAAAAATACAGATCCATTTAATAATTAAATATTCAACTTTGAAACTATAATGTAGCTTACTTCCAACAATCAATATAATTATTTTCATCGTGACAACATCATATTCTATTTATAATAAGCCACAATGTAACTATCATTGTAACTATCTTGTTAGCATTCAACCAAAAACTAACAAGAGTTTCAGTTACATATTTATTATTTAATTAAATAATAAATATGTTACTGTATGAACTATTTATTACTTATTCCTTTTGAATTTGTTAATCTGATTTTGATCTGACACATAGTTTACGAAAGTAAATTAGATTTTAAGAAAAAACATTAAGTGATACTTGAAGTTGTCCCAGATTTTCAAAAAAACACATTAACTTTGCGTGCGTCCTATTACCCCACAAAACATTCAAAATCTCAATAAATACACATTTTTTAAACAATATTTCCACTTTGGACAAAAATATCCTTCGAATGTGCAATTTCTTGAAAATAAAAAGTCGGACCCATTATTGATGTATTGAAGGATGCTTTGGTAATTTTGTATGATGAATTCGTTTTGTTTGTTTCTTTTAAATTTCTTTTACTATACTAAATAATTGTATAAAATATTATGAATCACGATAATTAATTACTTAATTATTTAAAAGATATAAAAATATATAAAAGATCTGATTGACTCTTCAAATTTTACCGATGACACATAAATTGGGACAAATGAAATAATATATATTATTTGAAAATTTCTTAGAAAGTACTATAAATTACAGTAATTAACAACTAGAAATATTTCAAAGACAAAAAAAATTGATTGAATCTCAATTTTTTTTTAGTACTACATAAATTGAGAAAGAAGAAATGGCCTCTATTATTTGAAAATAACGTAAAAGTATTACAAATCATACAATAAGAATTAACAATTTAAAATTTTAAAAGACTTTAATGCTTTATACTTATTCTATTTCCACTTTGGACAAAAATATCCTTCCAATATGCATATTTTTTTAAACAAAAAGTGGGACCCATTATTGATGTATTCAAGGATGCTTTGGTAATTTTCCAATGATGAATTCGTTTTGTTTGTTGTTTAATTTTTTTAAAATAATTGTATAAAATATTATAAATCACAATAATTATTTACTTAAATATTCAAAAGATATAAAAATATGTAAAAGATCTGATTAACTCTTCAAATTTTATATGAAATAATATATATTATTTGAAAATTACTTAGAAAGTACAATAATTTACCGTAATTAACAATACAATATTTTAAAGACAAAAAAAATTGATTGAATCTCTAAATTTTATTAGTACCATATAAATTGAGAAAGAAGAAAAAATAACCTTTATTATTTCAAAATTGCGTAAAAGATATTACAAATCATACAACAATAATTAGCAATTTAGAATGTTAAAAGACATAAAAATTTTTTTACCATAGTTAACAATAATTAAAAATTTAAACTATTTTAAATTAATATTAAAGTTTGATTAACTCTTTAATTTTGTCTTTGTCACATAAATTGAAATAAAAAATAATACATATTGAGTCTGTGCTAGCACGGGCTCCGATGTCTAAGTATTATTAAGTGTAGATCTGAATGATCCCCTTCTGGCAACCAACATCCACGTTATTAAGTCAAAGTATGTTTTTGAGTGAATTGAACTCTTATGTGTTTCGCCAAACAAAAACTTTTGTCGTATTTAGAAATCAAAAGTTTTCGTATGGTTTTTGAACACTAAAATATAATCGAAAATATTTTATAGTTGATATAGTTTTTTGAAGGCTAATTTTTTTTAGTACATATAAATCAAGCCTCAAGGGTTTCTGTACAATTTTTGACATATCTAAAATATTTTATAGCATGTTTGGCCAAGTATTTTGAATTGTCTGAATCTCAAAGCCCAAAAATCCAGGCTGTTTCTTTCAGCAACGCTGGAAATTTTATACATTTATATTTTTTTATATGAAAAAAAAAAAAGAATAATGAAGGAATATAATTTAATGGTGTTCCTTTTCTATACGGCATCAACTCTTTTTTTTTTTGAAAAATCTTTTTATTTTCTTTTCTGCAAACTCAAAACGCATTGGTAACTGTTTTTTTTCAATAATGTGACAATTAGCCAACTTTTGTTCATAAATCCTCAAAACCCACATCCAAATCTTCATCCATATTACGGAAGACTCAATTTCCCCCCAAAAAGTGTTGTTTTGAGAAGCAAAATCCGAGATTTTTGGTTCCATTTTCCAAGATGAATTGATTTGTGAAAAGGGGTTGTACCTTCTTAGTGATTGTGTAAAGATCGAGTGGTTCTTGATTTAGCGAAGAATAAGAATGGAACCTCCAAGGGGTTTTTTTACTTCTGTGTGGAACTTCATTCGTTTCTTACCTTACTTCATTTGCCTGCTTATTTTGGGTGTCTTGAAAGGTTCTTCTTCTTCTTCAATTACACTCCTATTTACATGCTACTGTTGTCTCTTCTTTCCTTTTCTCAATTAGCATACGTTTTTCATTTCTGTTACTTTGTCATGTCTTCTTCATTCCTGTTGCTTTAAAATGATTTTACTTGAGCTGAGAAACAACCTCTCTATCTCCCAAGGGTAGGGGGGTAAGGTCTGTTTACGATCTATACTCCCCAGATCCCACTTGTGAGATTCCACTAGGTACGTTGTTGTTGTTGTTTTACTGTTCCAAAGCTAATCTCCTTGATTCTGAATAGAAATGACTGGTTTGTGCTACTTACTCTTTGCAGGTGTCATTGTGTTCCCTATCGTCCTTATTATACTCACTGTCGGAAACTGTTCCCTTATTTTGGGTCTTTGGCCAGTGCACCTGTTCTATACATTTTACTGTATATGGAGGTGCCTTCTTAAGCTATTGTTTATCATGGTTAACCTTATGTGTCTAAAGATACTCTTTAATGACTTGCACCTTGTTTGATGAATTGCAGCACAAAGCAACTAGGTCCAGCTTTAAAAATTTTGACAAGCATATGTGCCCTTGTTATTTTATATTTATGGCCGTTCATTGCAATTGCAACTAGCATTATTGGCGGGGCTGCTTATGGCTTCCTTTCACCAGTGTTTGCCACTTTCCAAGCTGTGGATGGAAGGACGACTAATGCCTTCTATCACAGTATATATGTATGTATTAATGATTCCTGTTTCCTACACTGTTGATATCTCATCTCTCATTTTGCCTTTGCCTTTGACTTTGAGTTTGTGAATTGGTTCACTGTGATGGTAGGATGGGACCTGGGACACGGTGAAAGGAAGCTTTACCATTGTTAGGGATTTGAAGGATGTCTTATACCATTCCTATTTCTCAATCATGGATGATTTCCGACATCAAGGACCTTCTGATGGAAAATACTACGAGATCAGGTTTTGTTGAATCGTCTATCTCAAAGTTCTTTTTCCCGTCTTTGTCCAATTTGAGTTGGATAATTTTCTCTATATTTCCATACCTTATATCTTTCATTATCAGAGAGTTTCAGATAACTAGTTAGTATGTCAATTCAGTTAATGAATTGTATCTTGTACTGGAAATATACAACAAAGCAGCTTGCCGTTGTTTGCAAATTGCATGCACTACTTTTATTTCACTGTCAGTTGAAACCTACACCTCAAAGCTTTCTTGATAACTCCTACCATATGTGAATGACAGGGTAGAGGATCTTGTATGGTGGTGTAATTTCAGCTACAGAAGCTTGCACGACATTTCTTATCATATGTGATTAACAGATGAGAGAATATCTCGTATGGTGGTTAACCTAAAAGAAAAACATAAATGCAGAATCTGAATGTCCCCTATTTTCCTAGAACATTTCATCTATTTTAACTTCTGTTTCAGAAGAATTTTCAAAACTCCAGCTTTCCCTTTAGATTTGATCTATTTTTGTATTAGTTCATTCCAAAAATATATCTCTGTTACTTAATTGGCAAACTATACAAAAAGAAATATATAAGAAGTATATACTTACTGTTTATAGTATCTTTACATCTTCCACATATTTTGCTAATAACACTGTCAACGATTTTTCTGAAAATCAGTGAAGCGTCAAGTTAGGTCATACAAAACCTTAAAACACTTATTTAGTTTCTCTTAATTCTGACAAAAATAAAACCATCAACCCCTGGGTTTTCTAGCCATCTTAGGACAACCAGGATGAGGTCAAGATGTTATTCTACTTGTCAACAAGTCAAATCTCCTTATTCTTATGTCAACAGAAATAATGGTAATACTATATGTTACCCTACATGTCAGTAAGTCTTAATCTCCTTCTTGTGACAAACAGAAACACAGATGCATTTGTTTTTGGAAATGTTCAGTACTTTGCTACAATTCTTTTAGTCTAAAGTTGCATGTTGTAGGTCTTTGCACTTATGACATTTTAAAATGCCTGCTGTTTTCCTTAACAAAAATGTTCTTCGATTCTCATGGATTCAACTTATGCTGTTTATCTGCAAGCATATGTTGGGGGTTTTGCTGGGTATAAATTCTTCATGAGAGATTTTCGTTTTTCTCAGAAGCTACAATGCAATCTATTGCAGGGTGCTTTATATTCCTTTGGCGCTAATAGCTGTGGTACTAGGACTCGTGGTTGACATGCCAATGATCATGCTAATTGCTGCTTGCAAATTCCCTTACATGATTTTCAAGGGGTGGCGTCGTTTATTTCAAGATTGTATAGGCCGAGAAGGGCCTTTTCTTGAGACAATCTGTGTGCCATTTGCTGGCCTTGCTATCTTACTCTGGCCAATGGCTGTTATTGCTGCATTCTTTGGATCAATATTAGCAAGTGTCCCTCTAGGCGCTTATGCAGGAGTAGTTGTATATCAGGTTTTGTTCCTTTTCTTCTCCAACTCCTTACTTCAATGATCTCAAAATTGCCTCTTGTGTTTTATACATTTCTGGAACTGCTAAAGTTTTACCAATGCCTTCTACTTCAGGAGTGTTCTCTTTGGTCAGGGCTTTGCTATATCGTTGCTTCCTTGTCCTTATATGATGAATATAGCAATGATGTGCTGGACATGCCAGAAGGGTCCTGCTTTCCTAGGTTCTGATAACTACAACCTTTAGACCTCCAGGACTGTGATAATTGACAAAACTATATTTAATTTCAAATAATTTTGATAGTTTCCATATATCTGTGGTATTCATACAGGCCTCAGTACAGAAAGAAGACTGCATCAAGGACCAACTCTCGTGCAGATTCTTTATCAAGGCCTGATTCTTTCAAAAATCCACCAACTAGTGCAAATGCCATCAATGTCCCCATACTCGACTTGATACCCCTCGAGGTATACTTGAAGTTATTTGCTTTTTTGATGCTTCACCATTACCTGGCTGTGAATTTTGGTGCTAATTTGCGCTCAACATATATTACTACTGTAGCTTCTTGATGGCTTATTCAAGGGCTGTCAATGTCATGGCGAAATCTTGGTATCTCAAGGAGTAATTACACAAAAAGACATTGAAGATGCCAAATCTAGTAAAGACAGTGGTCAAGTCATTAGCATTGGTTTGCCTTCCTATTGCATCCTTCACACCCTTATACGTTCTGCAAAAGCCAACAGTGCTGGTATTTTGTTAAGTAAGTCAAATATGCAACTTTGACCATTTAGTTAAAATTGGGATTATAGAAAGAGACTGATCATGCAAACCTTCATTTAATGCAGATGATGACGGCACTGAATTAACTAGCACGAACAGGCCCAGAGATACCTTCTCTGAGTGGTTTTTCAATCCACTCTTGATCATCAAAGACCAGATCAAAGCCGCAAATCTTTCTGACAGCGACGAGGAGTACCTTGGCAAATTGGTTTTGTTGAGTGGTGATCCTGAGAGGTTGAGGGATTTAAATATTGGATCACCACCTGAATCTGAACTGAGGCGAGCTGAGGTTGAGGCGTTAGCTCGAAGGTGATAAACCTTGTTTTCCCGTGTTTTTACCACTCTATGGCATTCTGATTTTTGTATTAACTCCTCCTGATTTTTTCATTAAGGCTACGAGGCATCACCAAATCTATATCAAGATTTCCAACATTCAAGCGCCGTTTTGAGAGTAGCATCAAGATTATCTTAGAAGAACTTGCCAAGAAGAATGGTGATAGTAGAAAATCAGAAGATGCTGGAACTCAGAGAACTCTCAGGTCAAAAAGCATGTTTGTTCGTATGTTTAGCGAGAACTCTTTCAAGAATAGAAATGGCAAGAGTGATCAAGAGGCTCAACTGGTAGATACTGATAGAGATGTTGAAATTCAATGATAAGATTTGCATGAATTTTATGAACTAGCATGCTTTGCTTAATCTGTCTGTGCATTTTCAGTCAACAGGTTTAGATTGAAGACTATTTTGAAAGCTTTAATTAGTTCTTCCTGCTAGAAATGAATTTTATATTTCTTGGACAAAGTTTATGGATCTGTGCATCAGTTGATAAAATATTTCGTTGCAACTTGGATAAAACTTTCTTTTAAACTTCTGTTTAGATGGAGAACAAGGCTGAGAATGTATCACTGTAATAATTTTGCCAATGTTTTCAAAACGGTACTCATAGAAAACCTCACCCAATATTCAAATGACAGGAGTAATATTTTGATCTAGTTATGGTAAAATTCAAATTAGCAAATCCAGAGCATGTAAGGATACTGAAAATTCATTCTGCAACATCAAACTCAAAAGAATAAATACAGATAGTATCTTCTGATTCACTTGCCCTGGAAATGGTTCTTTTGGCTAGACAGTGTAGAATTGAGAGTTCGAATATCTTTTAGACTGCTCTTGATTCAATCAGCATACAACTAAAAATGCAAAAATAACACTAGGCCTTGTTTAATGAGTAAGAACGAAATCAAGCTTCTTGTTGCATTACCCAATTGGAAATAGAGACAGAAAGTAGTTGTCTACTAATCAGACTTGGAAAGAGGTAAAGGAGATGCTTTCTATTCATTCTTCCTGGAATCCTTCAGCTGCCCTCTCCTTCGAACTCCAATGCAGAACTTCAGACGCCAAGCATCAACCATCGATTCTGGTGATGAATATAGCAAACCCCACAGAAGAGAATGGGGCCAGTAAGGTGTGCACCTTGGCTCATGACCAATCCATCGCAGGGCTGCCCGAGCATAACCATCAGTCGAGGGAACAAAAAATGAAGATCTTTTGATTGACGCCATTTTTGTTGCCACATACAACGGCACCTATATTTGGAAAACCACGAATGATGTCGCATCAGTGGAAAATTAAAAAGAAAATGTAACGGAGGATGTCCTCCAACTTATTCAATGCATTTTGTTCATGAAGTTGAACTAGATGCCAACAGACAAATTCATTCACTACAAAAAATCACACTTCAAATGTTTAATAATAAAAGGGAAAGTTGAAAAAGTAATTTTTTTTTTAATTTATACATATCAACATAACAACTATTCAGAAATTCAATGTCTCCCCAACCTACACTTGTACCATATTAGCCTCACATGTTTGTCCATAACAAACAACTAGCCATAGTGAACTACTGAACTCTACAACCAAACATCTAATAGTGTGCCAATTTTAAGATTTTATACAAGACTATTTGTATGCTCCTAAAATGTGTTCCGTGTTGTAGAATAAATATATCAACAAGCAAAAGACAGAAGAATCCAGGGTAATAGGACATAAGACAGAAGGGACTTGTACGCCAGCATAAAAAGAATATGATTACAACTTCCAAAATTGACAAGAAAAATGGGATTAAAAGCCAGTAAATCCAAATGATCATCATATGAGGCATCTAGAGAACTTATTAAAAACCAGTAAAGCCAAGGGCATAACATATACCTGGCATTGTACATCAATTCCACTCTTCTTGTACTCTACATAGAGGCATCTGGAGAACTGGTCAATGTATCTGAAAAATAGATCCAAAAAGTTCAATGCAATACTAAAGAATAGCTACTATTTCATGCTTAAACATACAAATCGTCCTAGAAGTCTAAAACATCGTTCAACTTACGCTTTAGTAGCGGCATAAACAGCATACAGGGGATCAGAGGGGATAACAATAGCCGCACCAGAACCAATATTAACAATTGCTCCTCTTTTCCTCTGAATCATACCAGGCAAAACAGCTTGAGTAACCTTTGTAGTCCCTTCCACATTAACTTTAATCAAATCTGCCAACAGCTTATCATCCACTTCATGGAAAAATCTAGCATAAGGATACGAAACCCCAACATTATTAATCAAAACCCCAATATCTAATCCTTCAATTGTCTCCTTAATATTCTTAACCCCTTCATCCAAATCACCAGAGAAATCAACGACCACTGTTTTGATCTGGGTCTGTCCATATTTAGCTTTAATCGATTCAGAAACATCCTTAAGTTTATCAGGGTTACGACCCACAAGAACTAAATTAAGCCCTTTTCGAGCTAATTCAAAAGCAAAGCCCTTCCCAATACCATCTGTAGGTCCAGTAACAAGTGCCCAAGACCCATATTTCTTAAGATTCTTAGCAGGTCTGAGGAAATTGACATAGACCCATTTGAGAAAGATGACTGAAAAGCACAAGACTTTCAAGAAACCTAAAGAAAGAAGCAAAAGAAGCCATACAGGCTGGGATTTGAGCTGGTGGTAGATGCAAGACTCCATGTTTGAATGGCAGAAACAGTAGTTTGGCAAGAAAACAAGATTAAGTATATATAAAAAGAAGCGTATAGATCTAAAGATTGAATCTTGGAGTGTTACACAAGATGGGTTTCGAGTCTATTAATTCACATGTATGGCCATTCGGCACAGCTGGGAGAATGGACTGTTATTGGTTGGGTATTTAATAGGCTCGCTAAATAGCAATTTTTGTTTTTCAAATCAATGCTGAGATTTACATTAGTTGGTTGAAGTTAGATGAACAAAATTTAGTGTGCTATCGACTTAGGTGATCCATCGTGGAAAACCACATCTAACTTTCCAAATTAATTAGGTTCATGTCTAATGAAGAACTAGTTTAGATAGTCGTGTATCTAATCATTGGTGCTAGGAGTGTACAAAATCGAACCAAATCGCAAATCGAGTTAACTCGAAAAAAATCCGACTAGTGGTTTGGTTTTGAAAAAAAAAACCGACTATATTTGGGTTGGTTTGGTTTTAACTAAAAAAAATCAACCCGAATTTATATATATAATTTAAAATTTTTATTTTATACATAAAAATATTTACTTTGATATAATTTTTAAATATTTCTTATACTTTTCCATAGTTTTTATCTTTTAATATATTATTTCAAGTTTGAAACGTAAAATTATGAATGGGTTAATAAATATTATAGTCCACAGATGTTGGTAATTATAATAAAGCTTAAATCAAAATCAAATTAATACTAATGCAAAAAGAAAATCAATTCAACACTAAGAATGACAATAATATTGAATATTTGTTCTTTAGTTTTACATTGGTTTAGACAATTAAAATGCATAATCTAATTTTAATTTTCTTTAATATTTAGTCATGTAACTAATACTTATTAAACTTAATTTTAGCATGATTTAGTACTTTTAAATTATGATCATTTTCATTATGACTTGTTAATTTGTAATATTTGTTTTGCGCGATTTCATTATTACTATTTTTGTTGGATATTTTAGTGTCATTAATCATATCATATTGTGTTATATTTTAAAGAAATATCTTAGATAGTTGTATTTTGATAGGACTAAAGAAATATTTGAAGTACAAGTAAATTATATGTTTGTATGAATACTTTATCGGAAAAACCCGAAAAAACCCGAGTTTTATTGGTTTGGTTTGATTTATAAATTTAAAAATCCGACACAAATGGTTTGGTTTGATATTTGAAAAACCTGAACCAACCCGGCCACGTACACCCCTAATTGGTGCACATATAATCAATTAGTTCTTTCATTTCAATTTATGTGATAGAGACATATAATTATTAAGTTTTTCTTTGATAGAAATTTCTTTTTATAATATTTTAAATTGTTAATTAATAAAATTTATATATTTTTAAAATGTTCAAATTTTATTGTAAATAACTTAGAACTTTTATGTTCAGTTCACGAAATTTTGACACACGGTATATAATTAAGAGCAACTTTCAATAGCAAACACAAAATTCAAATTTTGTATGCTATAACAAAGTTTGCATAATTGCGCTCCATAGCAAACATAAATAGGTATATTTCGATATACATATACAAAAGAAAGCAGTTGTATAATCTGCTTTGGTATATATATAAAAAAGATCAATTGTATAAAGTGAGAGAGGCGAGTGAGCGAGCGAGGTCTGGGAGAGTGGCGAGCGAGATCTGAGAGAGGGGAACAAAAATATATGTATATATACAATTTTCACACATTTTATACATTTGCATTTTTGTATAAAGTGAGAGAAGCGAGTGAGAGAGCGAGATCTGGGAGAGTGGTGAGCGAGATCTGGGAAAGGGGAGAGAGGGAAACGAAAATATATGTATATATACAATTTTCTCTCGCTTTATATAAACACAAACGCATTTTTATACAATTTGCGTTTTTTGTATAAAGTGAGAGAGGCGAGTGAGAGAACGAGATCTGGGAGAGTGGCGAGCGAGATTTGGGAGAGGGGAACGAAAATATATGTATATATACAATTTTCTCTCGTTTTATACAAACACAAATGCACTTTATACATTTGCGTTTTTATAAAAAATGAGAGAGGCGAGGGAGAGAATGAGAGTGGCGAGCGAGATTCACCAGGAGAGAGGTGAAATAACAACAGTTTGCTATGAGGTACAATTAAATCAAACTATATTTATAACATTTAATTTGAATTAATAGTTTGCTATTATATACAATTTTCCCTATAATTAATGGGCTGCTTGATAGGTACGGGAGGGTGGAGGTTGTTATAATTAGTTTATAACTTCTGGAACTTACAAATAGACCCCAATAGTTTTTAATTACAAGTTTGGTTATCTACTTATCCACCCCAAATATAATTTCTAATTTTCAGTCCAGTCTTCTCTTTGGAGTTATCAATGAAAATGTTTCTTAATTCTGAATCAAATAATGAATTCAATTGACTAATTATATAAATATGTTTTACTATAAGCCATTTTTATATTTATTTGGTGCTAATTTTTTTCTTACTGCACCTTTTGTTCAATTTTCGTGTTCCGTTATTTACCCTTACACTTATTCTATTCTTTTTACTGTATTACTCATTAATTTTTACACTATACAAATAGTTTACAATTTTCATATTGGGTCACAGTTGTGGATGAATTAAAAAAAATAGACTTCTATTGGAAAGTTGAAAATACAGGTAGCAAATGGTTAAATTAGGCCAAATTAATAAATATCCTGTGATTCTATCGTCAAAAAAATTTAATTGAATCAAAATAGCTTAATTGTAATAATCCAACAGGTTCATCATGACCAGATAATTCTTTCTTTAATTCTTTTATTTTAATTTTTTGAAAAAAAGAAGAAGTGAAAACTAATATATTATTCTTAAATTATTAGCTTAAGTTCTTCTAAATTTACATAATTTTCAATCTCAAAATTTAAGTTTTATTATTTTAAGTATAACATACCTAAATCCCATAGTGTAAACATCTAAATTACATCATATCCCTACTTTTTTCTATTTTACAAAATCCCTTAAAATAAAAGTCATTCGGATACATTATGTGTGATACATTGCAAAAGCTCAGTTGCACCTATTAAGGAAAATAGTTGGTTGTTGCGCTTTATTAGGAGAATTAACCTAAAATTGATTCTAAATCCCACGATTCAACCATAAGTGATTGTTATCAATCCATCCCAATCTGTAACAGATTCACATCTTTCAGAATTCAAATTTCCATCATCTCCATCAAGCCGCCATTGCAGCCTAAATTGTGAAGAATTCAAATTACTCGACAAAGTTGGCTGATACAATATGAATATATATCGATTTTTTTAGAGATTCCAAAATTAAGGTAAGTGAGATGAGTTATGAAGGTTACAAAAATGATGAATTGTTGTTGGACAATCGATTTCATTTATGAATCGCAAAGTCGCCATTTCAGTTGAGTTGGAGATCGATGAGATTAGGTAAAACTTGAAAATCGGATACATCATAGAAGTGTTGTGAATGGGTAAGCGAGATGAATTATGAATGGTTTATTTTTTGTATATTAGTAAAGTGTTGTGATTTTGATACATAAGTGTCAATATTAATTAGTTATTTTAGTAGTTAATATGATCTATATTTTGTGTATCAGTATAATGTTTTGATTTTTATACATAAAACAATATTATGAATGTAACAAACAAATGACCAACTATGAAATTTATAATTTGATACATACATTCGAACTATTAGTAAAAATACAAAATAAACATAAAACATAAAAACTAATTTAAATAACAATGTATCAATTTAATATAAATTTGAATTTACGTCTCATACATAAAAAATTAGTGCATGATACATTATTATTTATGTATCTTATTTTGTTTGAGAAATACAATATTTTTAAATTAAAAAAAATAATACATTATACATGTAATTGTTCCAAAATAGCTTATATTTTTTTTTGTGTGATACATAACACAAAGTTTATGTATCACATACATTTATATTAAACATGATAAACACTAATCGAAGATTCAATAACATTAGAGTTATGTATCAATACCTTAAATATGAACATGTTACATTGCATAAAACAAAGGCTATTGTTGCAGTGATGTATCAAATCAATGATAACACTAACAAAGACTAATTTAAGAATCAAAATGAACGAGATACATTAAAAATCTGTATTTTTGATAGTGACAGACGTGTAATGGCAGATCCAATTTTTTTTTGGACGTTTTTCAACAATAGATACATTAAAAGAACATAAATATTTTTCAAGAAAATTTTTCAACGACGATATGATTAACTAAAACTGCAAAGGTTCAATAAGATTTCAATGGGGGTAGGGGGCGGAGATGATTTGTTTTTTTTAAGATGAAAAAAAATAATGAAAAAAAATCAAAAATTGAAGTGATGGAAAGAAATCTACCTCTTGAATAATTTGAAATCATTAATTGGAAAGACAAAAGATTTGAAATTCAAAAATAGATTAATTGATGTAACTATGGAGAGATTTGTGGCGTGAAAAAAAAAGAAGGAAAATCATGGATATGAGATTTCAAATTAATGTATCCGAAAAAGGGGATGATGGGTGAAAAAGAAGGGATTTTTTATATTTTTTAAAATAGTAAGGAAAATAAGAAAATATAATAATAAATGATGTGTAGTTAAGTAATCAGTTGAGTTACATTATTTGATTAATTTGTTTGATACGTACAATATTTGTTAGGTTAAGTCTACAAATAAACCATAATTCAACCCATTTAAAATTGAGCAAGATAATATTACCAATATATATGTTGATTTTAATTTGCTATACCTCGGTATCTTAGAACCTTTCTGTATACACTTGAGAGGCAACAGAACATAGATATATAGTGGACAAATTACTATTTGGGATAGAACGAGAGATAATTTCAGATGTTCACTCAATTTAATTGATTTTTTCACCCAATCTCTATTTAATTGAATTTTTCATTAAAACATGAATTTATTTTTAAAAAACCATAATTGTAAAAAAATTAAGGCAACCATGTTCTCCATTTTCCCTGCCACACGGCCCACGTTAATTGTTATTTGCACGTATTCTTCTATTAATAACTGATGATTCAAATAACTGTTCCCCTCCCTAGACGCACTAAACACTAAATTAAACTGTTACTTGTAAGTTCAGTTTCTCATTATCTGTAGCAGCTTCCCAGTTACTTTACTTTGGTCTCTTAATCAATCTATATCATGGCTTTGACGTGTTTTGGTAACGTGTTGATCTCAATTTTAGTTATGATGAGTATTGCGTCTTCTCTTCAATTAGTGAGTGCCTCATCATCCATGGAATTCCAAGTTGGTGATACTACTGGTTGGACAGTTCCTCCCCAAAATGACACCAATTTTTACAACAACTGGGCTTCCGCTATGAGGTTCAAAATTGGCGACACTATCCGTAAGCATACATATATATTATGGTTTATTGTGTCAAGTCGTGTTTAATTTGGTGATGGATTTAGGTTTCAAGTACAAGAAGGATTCAGTGATGGAGGTGACGGATAAAGATTACAAGAAATGCAACTCAACACAGCCCCATTTGTTTTCCAACAGTGGGAACACCATGTTCACATTGGAGCATTCTGGCTATTATTATTTCATAAGTGGAGCAGCGGGACACTGTGAGCGAGGACAACGAATGATCCTAAGGGTTATGGTCCAGGATGTCATACCTACTTCTCATGCACCATTCTCATTCCCAATCTTTCAACAACTTTTCTTCTTTCTTTTCCTTTCACTTGTTTAATTTTAACTTCTTAGTACCACATTGTTTTTCTTCTTTTGTTTGAATTTTCTCTTAGATTATACTCCATTCATCTGTATGAAATTTCCTTTAGAATGTGATGAACTAAGTTTGGCAATATAATGCACTATTATTGTTGAATGTGACAAATATCTTCTACTTATAAACAATGCGCGCACTATTGTTGAATGTAACAAATTATATCTTCAACTTATAAACACGTAGAACTAAGTATCAATAATGAAATGGAGTTCACGACAGGGGAATGGATAACTTATCGGGTCTCATGAGGTTAAAGGTGCGTACATTTTAGGTTAAAATTTCATCTGAACTATGGAGTGCAGTATTGGAGCCAGGATGAATCACCTTCATATTCTGACGACTCACTTATTTTGGTAACACGAACTACATCTTTAGCAAAATTAGCAGGTCCGCTCTGATCTTTAGTGCCTCCTCGTCTTCGTCTCTGGTAAGTGATTTCATAGTGACACGAAAACTGTGCAGTATTCAGCTGATCATGATCATTGCCAACCTGCACGGTTACCTTGTCAAGAAAAATTGTATCAGAAATTAATAAACCATGTTTTGCAGCATACACTTCCCATCCCCCTCCAAGATGGTATTGATCACCCATCTCAGTATGCAATAATTTCATCTCCACCAAATTGTTCCCCACAGGATCAAATAAAGGCAGGGCAATTTCTCCGCCTGCTGCAGGAAGAGGAAGATCGCGACCCAAATTCTCTTCCACGTCTTTCTTTGGTAGCTCTATGAACATTACACCATTCGTACGGCCACCATATCTGTACACAATTTGCGAGCATAATTTCATCTCAACAACTGGTTCTATCTCTATTAATCCTGTACCACCACGACTAAACGAATATCGTTCACTCAACTTTTTTATATATAGGGCTTTTACATCAGCTCTAGACAAACGTCTGAGGAGTAGAGGATTATTCATGTCAATAGCTTTTTGGTCACAAGTGTATCCGATTCGAAGGCCCAATTGCTGAGAAACCTCAAGAAGTACCAAATCCTTATTAGCTTTCAATTGATTCTCCTTTACGAAATCCTTCCATTGTCCAGTGAAGTAATAACATTCATTTTCTCCTACCAAATTGACTTTCCTTGTTTTTTCTCCAGCATCAACACGACGTTGTAATTTCAAACTCTGTATATAATGCGCCAATCTCCTGGGTATCTCTAAGTGATCGCCAGTAATGTCGTCTTCGCTTAATTGCTTTTCGAAGAAGTGTTTTCCGTTTTCATCTCTGTAAATCCATGCGGTTCCCGTGTCAACAGGGCTACCTCTGTCATTAATATAAGATACAGAAATATTATCAGTTGGAATTATACCTACAAACATACATTTAATACTCATCATTTCAATTAGGTTGAATACATCGATAACCCCTTAAATTTGTGAGTAAATTTTTGTTTAGACATTTGAACTACATACATATAATAAAATTGGTCTATTAGAGCACTTGAAAAACCTGATCATGTGTTCAGGTGCTCAATTGAAATATTATATAGTGCAAGTGTTTCATTACTGACAAGTTTAAGATGTAGTCGATGGACCTTTCAATTAATTCTAGTTTAAAGATTAGGGAATTATAATAGACATACTTGGAGTGTTTGGTTTGCAGAGAATCGTTCTCTGAATTGTCATTGTTTTGTTCTTCCACCTTCATTGAATCACTCTGTTGATCAACATGATAGTAACTATCTGAGATTTCATTCTTCTCCAGTAGTTGATCACGGAGCCCTGAATCGTCTGACATTTTCACTTTCGTGATATTTTAGTATGTGATCTTCTAAAGGGAAAATAATTAACGTAGAAGAAAACAGAGTAGCTAATAATGGGCGTATGGTGTTGTTGTTTCACCATAATTTATAGAGGTAGCAATGGAGTGTTCGTGCACCCACGCTTATTCAAACAACATTATCTTATAGTATTTCCAAAATTTGCTTTCTGTCTTGTATTTGACCAGTATGTGACAATAACCCTTGTGAAAGATATATAGTTAGTAGCGCCCCTTTATTAGTTTTTTCCAAGTCAATTAACCGGATATGGTAAATGAAACGTATCTACGTTGAAGTTCGACTAATTTGAATTTGTGCATTGCAAACCCATTTCTAGTTAGTAGAGTCTAACTAATCAGAGAACTAGAACTCGAAAAAATTGAATAAAGGTGGAGGAATTCCAACTATTCCATCGGAGCCCAAATCTCATTTTTCTGAGTTATATTACCAAAATATAGGTTGACCAAAGGACTTTAGCTTTTTGTTGTTGTTTTTTTAAAGATTGTCTTACGTGATTGGAAACCGTCTTTTCTCAAAAAGGAAGAAAAAATAATTGAAGGGACATTCACAAGATTTGAAAAAGAAAAAGCACAACAAAAATATTCAAAAAATTAAGTTTTTGGTTTGTAGAACATTTCTTGAGACCACTTGATCATAAAATAAAATTCTCCAGATGCCGTCGCATTCATAATAAGAAAGTAATTATACTCTTTTAATGATTAATGAATGGCCGACGTTGGACATGTCAACTCAATAAATAAGTTTGATCGTAAACCGTCCAATATTTGTTTGGATAAAGATGAACATATCGATTTAAGCTAAATGATGAATTATAATCTTAATCACTTTCACTGATACAAGCTTATTTTTGTATTTTTTTCAACAAAGAAAAAATGAATTGTTGGAGAGCAACAAAATATATTTCGCTAATAATTCTGAAAAATACTTTTGACATTATTTGACCAATAATTTGTGTTAGGCTAGTGTTGTTTTAAAATATTTCTCCTTTAGCTTGTGAAAATCCGCTTATGCTATTCAAAAACACTTTATTTTTTCTTTTAAAGCTTAATCAAACACCTTAATTCTCTAAAATAAACATGTCTACAAAACACTTTTTGCTTCCTATAAACCTGACCAAACAAGCTATAACTTAAATTATAACTAAAATAATTAACTACAATATATATATCCCGCTAAAGCCGTCCAAATCAAAACAAGTTGAACAAGTTATATTTATGGCTATAATCGACACCCCTAAATGATACGTACTAATTTTAAATTTTCCATGCCGTCCAGATAAGTAGTGCATTTTTATTTATTTTTTCATGATATTTCAATTTGGATTTCTCTCTTTTTGGCCACAAAAAGATATTATTTTTTTTTTAAAAAAAAAGATTGGAATTTTCAAACAAGACAGAGAGAATGATGTTTGTGGGGGCATTTGACTTTTAGGATTTGTTGGACTAAATTATTATTCAATTAAAAAATGGGGGTGTCATGGGTGCAACAACTAATTTGCAACTTGATTTTCCACTCCTTTAATTGTCCTCTCTCTCAAGACTCGTTCTGATCATCCCTTCTCTCTCTCTTGGCTTTCTTCTTCCTTTCATCAATTAAATTACGCAAAAATTATCATATTCATGAATTCTGTAAGTTTCTCTCTCTACCAATCTTTTCCAGTTTTTAATCATGAATTCCTTATGAACGTTCTTGAATTTATGCTATTGGAATATAATGAGAATCAAGAAATTTGTAAAAATCCAAAACCCCGGCCCCTCACATTTCTCTTTTAATGAATTAGACGTTAGGAAAAAATGATTGTTTTGTTCATATATGGCATGGCTTATGGCTACGACCAACCTTTTCATTATTTTTAATTGGTTTGTTGCATTTGATTCACCAACAAGTTTTTATGTATTTTTTGCTTGATTTTTATAGCAAAATGGAGCATGTTTAGGTGGTAATCCCTTTCATATTTCGGTTTAACAAATGTGTTTTATTGATTGTTCATTGAAAACATAAAGATTGGAAGAAAAACACATGTTAGAGTTGTTTGACTTTATCACAATTAGTTTTAAGGGAAAAAAGACAAAACCTGTTATGCCATTTCTATAACTTTAACATGTTATTGAAAACTCAGTTTTTGACATTGCCAATTTCCAGCAAGAGAAAGGTCGGCCATTGCCGAAATTCGGGGAGTGGGATGTAAATAATCCAGCCTCGGCAGATGGATTCACTGTCATATTTGCTAAGGCTAGAGATGACAAGAAGGCTAATAGCAGTGCAGCACCAACACAAACGCCTAGGAATGACTATGCATATGGACAACCTAACCCTTATCAGCAAGAAACCAGGGTATATATATATATATCCCCTCAACTACTAAATCTTACTAATAATTCTTCCTTTTGTGCTACAAGCATTTTGGAGTTAAGGTCTAGTCGTTGTTGTTTTTACAACTTATTGTCTCGTATGCCTCTATTTTCTTACTATTACTGTCATAAATGTTGTGTTTATGCTTTCCTTGTGCCGAGGGTCTATGGGAAACAATCTCTCTACCTGCCAAGGAAGTCACCATTTGTGGGACTATACTGCGTAATTTGTTGTTGTTATTTACTAAGTACTTACTTATTTGTCCTTTTTAGTTTGGTTCTAGACTTGTCTGTCAATGTAGAAAAAAATGTGATCAGATTCAGATCGAGAACAATTATTCTAGATTATAGTTGTCTTGTGGTGACATGATATGTGTTTGAATTACATCTCTTGGAAACTAGAACCAGATCTAACTGAAACTAAACAAAAAACAGATCTACCACAAAAGAAAAATTAAGAAATAGTTCAGTTGGAGAGTTCATGTTGAATGTTTGTTAGGAGACTTTGTAATCTTGTTAGTAGGAAATGTAAAGAATTTTTTATGTTAGATGATCTAATTATTGAACGTTCAGACGATACGTGTTCATAGATAGTTTTAGAATTGATTCTGACATGTAGTATATGTATATGCAGAAAAGAAGGTTTTGCTGTTTCTGAAAGCAGGATGTTTCGGTGGCTGTGAATTATGAGAGTTTTAAGGCCATCGGGTATTGCAGTTCAAGTCTGCCAAGTGGGAGAATGAGTGCTGCAGCTTCTGTTTGTATTTTACTCTATTGGTTATTGTTGCATATATAAGGTTTTCTTCAAGTCTCTCTCAATATATACTATGTATTCAGGGGAATCGTCGACCAACTTTCACAAACACGCTAATGTATTCTACTTGAAAAGCATAGTCGATCACTCTCTCCATTTATATCACTTCTATCTACAACATCATCGATCACTAGACTGAATCATATAAGTGTCTTTTATGCGCGCCAGCTGTCCTCTGAGCAAATTTTCAATGTGTGCTTTTACTTGTTCGATTGAATATTTGAACGTTCTGTGGCTACATGGATTATGTATCTTGTACATTATATTGATGAAACTTGCCTCTTGAGTCCATCAAAGTTGGCTGCTAGTAGAGAAAGAAGTCATCCTTCTTGCTTGAACTTGCTGTTAGTAGAGAAAGAACTAAGAAGTCATTTTTAGGATACTACATTATGCACTTATTATAATAAAGAGTTGCTTGCTACTGTATATCAACTTAATCTTGTGCTGTTAGTTCACAAAACTTAAATCTCAAACGAAAATATGTAACAATGACACTTTTAACAAGGACCATAACCAAGGAGAGGTTAGGGGTGGGCGTTCGGATTGAATATGAAAACTTTGGTTTGTATTTATTATTTTTTAACAAAAGAACTACGATCAAAATTTGTTCCAAATAAGTTGGATTGAATAGGTTTTCTTAAGTTCGGTTTCGAATTAATGATTTGGTTATTTAGATAAAATATTCATGTCAAATTGTCTTAATAATTTTTCAATCCTAAAATGACCATTCTAATAAAACATTCATGTCAAAATTGCCTTAATAATTTTTCAATTCCATCACAATCATCCAAATAAAATGTCCATTCAAGCAATGATCATTATCAAGGAAATTCCTAATCTAAATAAAGTACAAACATGTCCAGACAAATCATACTATTAATAATTCAAGTCAATCATTACTCAATCTTGTAAGTTATATGAAATTTAATCATCAATTAATATAGTATTTCCTTAAGGACCCAATGTCGCAACTCCTTGAATGAAAATAAAAAACAGTCACAGTGAATACATCTCAGCTTGCACTACTTATTAAGCCTAATATGAGTCGTCAATTTTATTTTAGTCCAATAAGTTATATTGATTATTAAGCAGTTTAGCATGTAATTGAACTTAGTATTTAATATATGAGTTTATGTTTAATCGATAGAAACAATTAAAAAACACAGCAAGTGTCCAAAAATTCTAAAAGTTGAATGCAACATTTTAAATCGTAATTTGAAAATTCAAACCAAAAATTGAATTTCGATTTTTGACGAAACTATGGTCATAAGAGTTGTAATGAAAACTTTCTACTAAATTAAGAATCATGCCTTTATGTATCAATAGGAGTTGTCAAATAGGGTTATATGACCGTTAAAGATGGTCAATTTGAAATGTGAGTCGTGACAAATAACATAATTAAACACTACATAAAAATATAGCATTGTTTATGAAATGTAAATTACGATCTATTAATGAATTTAAATCGGTCAAATATCTCCCAAATAAATAGGACATGTATTATTATCTGTTGCTATATTTAATTTGTATTGTTATTTTGCTATCCTTTTTTATAGTAAGTTTTCTAGGTCACAAAATAAATAACATCTTCGTTATTTATGTATTTGAGTAAAAACGATATCGTGGCCCATGCTGAAAAGCGAAAAGTAAATGATCCAGGACGCGAGCTAACCACGTTACTTAGAAATAATCTAACGATTATAAATCGGACACGTCATCAATATTCCACACAGATCCCAACTCATTCACGGAAAAGCTTATTAATCGACGAAACAAAAAATACAACCTCAAATATTTTCCACATTCCCCAAACTACCCCTTCCACATCCACCCATTCTCAAACACAAAACCACCCAATGTCGGTTTTTTTAGATGCCTATTTCCGTCATTCAATTCAATATTTTTCTTTAATATAAAATCCCCCTGTTTTGGCTTTCTCTATAGCAACCTATCCAATCACTCCGTTTTTGGTTTTCCACAAGGTATTCATTCATCAATGGCGACTGGTTTAATCCGACGAGCGATTTCTAGGGTTCAGTCATCAGCACCGGCGGCGAGGCTACTCGTTGCCAGAGCTCACGCTTCTGACTCCCAAGCACAGCAGGTAGAATCTAAGCCCAATCTCAAGTCATTTCAAATTTACCGATGGACTCCAGACAACCCAGGGAAACCCGAGCTCAAAGAATACAAAATCGATCTGAAGGAATGCGGACCTATGGTTTTAGATGCGCTAATCAAAATCAAGAATGAAATTGACCCTACACTTACCTTCAGGAGATCCTGTAGAGAAGGGATCTGTGGGTCCTGTGCTATGAATATCGACGGATGTAATGGACTCGCTTGTTTGACCAAGATCTCGTCGGATTCTGAATCGACGATTACGCCGTTGCCACATATGTTTGTGATTAAGGATCTGGTGGTGGATATGACTAATTTCTATAATCAGTATAAGTCTATTGAGCCTTGGCTTAAGAGGAAGACACCTGCACCAACGCCTGGGAAGGAGATACCACAGAGCAAGAGCGATAGGGCTAAGTTGGATGGAATGTACGAGTGTATTCTATGTGCTTGCTGTAGCACATCATGCCCTAGCTACTGGTGGAATCCAGAGTCTTATCTTGGTCCCGCTGCACTCCTCCATGCCAACCGGTAATATTTGTTTGTTATTTTCATGTCAAGCTCTTCCTGTTTTGCATTTACTCTTTATTGATGTGCTGTAGTTTGTTGGTTGTTATATTCTGGTTGCATTTGGATCATATATGATGTTAAATACACCTATAATTGGTGGATAGCGTTACCCCGAACCTATGCAGCTGTGTTGGTGGGGGAGGTATTAACCTAGCAGGTAGCCGTGGAATTAGTTTAGGTGCCTGCAAAACCTATAGACAGTAAACATTTTAACTTTTCTGGAAGTGCAGCAAATATATGGTACTTATAAATATAACAGGCTGGGCCATAATTCTTATTCGAAGTGATTGTATTAGATTAAGAAAGTCGTGTGCCTTTTAGATACGAAATGGATCTCATTTCCGTGAGCTGAAACACTATCTAACTTCTTGTAGAAGTTTGATGAATCATATGCTGAAACATCTTATTTTATGGTAAAACCGTGCAATTTCCATAGTAGTTCTGGTAATCTTATTCTGAGTTATCTTATTATTGGACAACTTTGAAACATTATTTTCTCATCTTACTAATCCCTAATTGGTTCATTAATTTGTGCTTGTTTCTAAGCTATGGCATCTTTAATTTGACTCAAAACTTAAGATATACGTCCAACATCTGATTTTAGACAATACATCTTTCAGCTTTTTGAATGTCGTGTGGTTAATATTTTTGCTCTGCTGTCCTTCATAAAAAATCTAACTAATGTGCCGAGTAAAGTTAGGTTTTACTCTCCTTTGCATATACATTATGCACAGCTCTCTCGTTCCTTCTGCTGCCTGCACCACCAATTGACTACTAACTGGCCTTCTTGGACCACTCCGTCCTATTGTGCTGATCCTTTCTCTCTAGAACAATCAGTTTTTTAACTCCCATACCAGTTGTAGGGGTAGCCTACGTTATGTCCTGTGGGTGCTCAAACACATTGTCTCAACTGATAGTCTGTGTTTTTATAGGAAATTAATTATATTTTGTTAATAGAGGCACAGTGAACACCCAAAGCACATGAGGGGTTGTGTGCACTGATTTAGAGGGCAGAGGAAAGGTCGCCTCATATATTGTGTCTGGGATCAATCTAAATATTAACCGGAGTTTGTTTTTGTGCATCTTCCTTTTAAGTTTTTGTACTTTTTAACTCTATTTTTTTCTCTGAAAGAGTTTCCCTTTTCTTTTTTTTTTTCCTTGTCTTTCGCTTATCTATGCTTCTTTTTTCCTTGTTACTGAATTCATACTTCTTTGTTCCTTCTATTTTTTACTTATAAACTTTTACCCTTTCGTTTTCTGTGTTTTTGCTTATCCATATTTCTTTTTTCCTTATTACTGAATATGAATGGGAGAATCCTACAAATGAAGTACTCTATGCAGTCGGTTTTGTTTGTTCTTTTCAAATATTGAATCATATCCTATGGTCGTTTTTTAAAATTTAAAACCAAATCAAATGAAGTCAAAGAATATGTTAATTTTTGTTATACATCAATTCAGTTTGGTTTTCGTTTTGGTTCAATTTTTTTATTTTCTTGAACACTTCTATTTGTAATGATAATATTCATTATGTTTTTTGACTCTTCCCACTAAATCACCTTAAAATTTCAAGTGTGTCGCAACCTACATTTAAAGGCATTGAGTATCATGATACTAAAATCCTAGGGCCGCCACTGATCAGCTTGTAAGGTTCAAAGACAATAGTAGTGTTAGGAGTCCTTTGCTATTCTTTCTCAGTGTGGGAATTTCAGGTGAGGATGGAAAAAGTTCAAATTTCGCTCTGGGCGGCTTGTCCTTCAAAGAAAAAAATTTGACAGGAAAAGTAGATGAAAGGGGACCTTTTTCTATTCAGTTCTACAAACCTGGGAATATATTATGTCAAAGGGAGTATTAGAGGAATGTTTTGTTAGCTCTATAGCTTAGGAAGAGGCTACAAACCCTTTTTTGGTGAGCTTAACTGATCTATCCTTGTAAAGCTTGCATCTTCTTGATGCCTTGAAATGAATCTACTTACTTCAAAAAAAAAAAGTATTAGAGGAATGCTATTACCTGATGCCAAACGCTAGGGATGTTTTCGGTTAACATCTTGTCCAAACTGCTTTTGGACTTATATGACTAACTTGCTTAGAGATGTAGGGCATTATTTACCTAAGTCAATTGCATGATGAGGGAGTAAGAGTTTTGGATTTCTGAAATTTCAGTACTTGCCTTGATTTTCTAGAGTTTTGGATTTTTATAAGTTGATCTACCCCATTAACCCTACTATCCATTATTCTCATATTTGCCATATTTAACGGAGGTTTATCTCTTTTTTTTAAATGTAGATGGATCATGGATAGCCGTGATGAATTTACTCAGGAGCGCCTGGACGCAGTTAATGATGAATTCAAGCTTTATCGCTGCCATACTATTCTGAACTGTTCTCGTGCTTGCCCAAAGGGCTTAAATCCTGGGAAGCATATTCAGAACATCAAGAAGCTGGAGATGGCACCTTGAGCCTGCAGTGTAGTGTTCCAGTCTTTTCTGCTAAGATTGATTTTGAAGGACTAGTAGGAGGTTGTGTCTCAAAATAATGTATGCACAGATTGTAATTTACTCTCTGAGATCTTTTTTATACTTGAATTTGGGATGAAAGGTGCATCTCCCTGAAATATAATACAGTATCAATTTCAAGTACATTGCTCCATAATGCATTTAAGGCAGTTTGTGTTTCCTCATAAGTTTTGTTTAGCTAATGTGTGTTATTTCAAGGAGTGATTATTTGTGCTTCCCTTTGTATTTGCTTCTCAGTAACATACAGATCTGTGTGGTGTTGATACCCGAGTTTCTTTGAGTCAATTAGTTTTAGTTACTTGCTACAATTATTTGTGTTCGGAACTTGGTATTTCCCTTAGCCTAGTTATGGGGATGAAAAAAGATAGTACTACATTTTTCAGAATTGCATTGGACACAGAAAAAGAAAGAAAACCTGGCACTCCCCAAAATTTATATTTCCTCATATGAGAAGTATGACCCTTTGATTATACATTAGATTGAAGTTTGAAAACAGTAGATCTACTAATATTAGCACAAGCATTGGATGATCTCCATTAACTCAATTGTTTTTATCTTCACGAGGTTTGCTCAAACTCCTAAAGTAGAATAGTATGAAGAGATAAGTATTATTTTATACTGCGATATATAACAACCCCCACCACTTACTTAGCTGTAATGAAAACCAATAATCAGAAGAAAAGGAATGAAGTTGTTAGTAGTAGTTAGTTTTCTGGTTTCTATGGTTATTATGAGTACAATAGTTGGAACAAGCACTCGTCTTCCCTTTCTCATTGACACTAAAACTGTGGAACCGTCTCAATACTTCACAATAACAGGTCACTACTTGAAACAATTCATATTTTTTTATCTTCTTTTTTTTCTTCAGAATTAACCATTAGGTGACTGATGAACTAATGATCTTGCCATTTCATTCCTCTATATCTATATAATAAAAATAGGGTGTAACAACGACTGTGATATAGCCTGTTGCTATTGTGATATCACAAAGCAGCCACCCCTCTGCGTTCAGTGTTGCCGTGAAGAGCGTTGAGCCCCCTCAAGAAGTACAGCCCAAAATGAGAAGAAATCTATTGATCAACGAGTGGAACCAACTTTCTTTTAATTATGTTTTTAAATAGGTTAGACTTAGATTGCATATAAGAGATGTACAAGATTTGCTTTGCTCTCTTCATTTACAACATACATTAATAACTATCAAATGTCACAAAATTAGAACATTTGGTATTCCGTATTCTTTTGTTGGAGAGCATGAAGCACCCAAAGTCGGGCATCAAGAAGATCCCTTACACTATATAAGAAAAAAATAAGAAGCTATCTATATCCAGGACATGCATGACAATATAATAGGCATTTGGCACTTGCAAATTAAAAATAAAAAGAGGCATTTAGCAAGGGCAGTCCTCCTAAAAGCATAAAGAGAGACATAAGACTTTCGGTGCAACATCCTGCTTCTCAAGATTGAAGGGTAGTCCAAGTTCAAAGAAGTGTATTCGATTTCAGAAAAATATATTCATTATTCCTCATCAGCAGGTTAATCCCAGCAATCATCTCTCGTCCTTGTGAAAGCAATACGCTTAATACAACTACCCAACATATTGACTTCACCTCGTTGGTGACTTCAACTTAAGTAAAACTCACTAAAAGATTAACCAAAATTTATACCCTCCTTGTAAGTCCAAGGAACACCACTGCAGAAGCAATCTGAACTCTTAAATCTGCAATATCAACATCATGACCACCTTCAACAAGACCCCAATTGTCAACCTGTAAGAAGCCAGAGAAAGTGAACACTTAAAACTTAGCGCAGACATTGATTATGTAGAGAGATGCTATTAAATGAGAGACAACAGCCCTGGCTGTTCACGTATTAGATAGGATACATGAAGTACTAGAAAAGATAAACGAAGGAAATTGACTGTGCACAAACCTGCAAATCTTCCTCAAGCCTAATCAACTCAATAGCCTCCTCAATCCCCAATCTACCACGGAAAATTCCAAGTGCAATGACTAATGAATGTGCAGCTGAAGCAATTGCATCAATTGTTGCCAATTCACAATCATCTGTTTTCTTGAGAACGCTTCCGATGGCGCTAACAAGACCATCATCTTGCTTGCCACCAAAAAAACTGGTGTGTACAGTGGGTTTGATGCCGAATTCTGACTCTACCCACTTAAGAAGGGGATCAATTTTCTCTACTTGACGCTCTGTGAAATTTCTCAGAGTCAAATTAATATTCGAAAAGTACTAATAATATGAAACCTGAATGAAATGCCAAAACAAACAAAAGAGTACTGCAGGCTTGCTGGTAAGCATATACCAAACCAGTGAATAGCTTTTGCAGTCAGAATCTGGAGTCTAAGTGGTTGTTTGGATTGACTTATTTTTAGTGGCTTTTGGCTTTTAAGCTATTTTTTGGTTTTGTAAGTGTTTGGATAACATAAAAAGTGTTTTTAAAGTACTTTTTTTAAGCTAAAAAGTAAAAAAAAAAAAAAAAAAAGCCAAAAGTTTGGGTGTTCCCAACTTATGACTTCAGGCTTTTAACTTATAAGTCACTTAAAAAAAAAAGTCAATCCAAACACCCCCTAACTCTTCTGGCTCTCATGATATTAACAGTACAAAAAGTAATTCTAGGCCGCTTCACAGTTAGCCAAATAGATGGAAATTCTGAGCACAAAGCTTATTCCATTTACAGGAGGACCTAACAATGTTACAAAAGCTTAGCATCACTTGAATATGTAATATGCTCTATTGGATACTAAAGTAGCATGTTTTAAGATCACCCCAGGAAGAATCCAAAAGGAGACTTCACTGGATTTTAAAAATATAATGAGGAGACTAGAATAGAACACTATCATCATGGGTGCTGATATGCATGCTCAAAGAATCTGTTCCCTAGATCCATCAACACTGAAGTACAACATACCTTTTAAGTAACGTTGACAAAGAAGTGGCCCTCAAATGATGTTTCATTTTATCTTTTGTTTTGGGAACAGAGTCACAACATTAATTCCTTCGACCAATAAGAAAACTGTGGTGAAACCCCCCATATTCAACCAAGACCCCTCATCTCTCTCCCCCTTCTCCACTACAAGCCCTTCTAGTGAACCTTCTCATAACTCTGAACTGCGGATCCTATTAGGTCTTCATTCTTCCTACATCATATCAGATCCTATAAAAGTCACAAGGCCACTGGAACCCTATTCAAACCACCTGCCAAACCATGTCCGATCACTCTTCTCCTCACACTGAACTGTAGTCCTTCTCAGTAAAACTCTCACACTGTTCATAGCAGCATTTTCCCCATCATAATTTATTCTTCGGTTCATGAATTAAACCTTGAAGAGAGTTCAAATTTCTTCCAGGGTTTAGTAGTGTGCTTGGTGGGCAGAATATACTGGTAAATGAATCTTTGGTATAGCGGGTAGTTCAGATGTAAAAGGAGCAATGGAATTCTGGAGATAAAAATCAGCGCTGTATTATCGTTACTGTCATGTCCTCCAATAGCTCTATTATGGGGTAGCAGAATTGTGCTATCACAAAATGCTCTCAAAAGCTAGTGAGATAATTGCATTATTTAAGATCGAATCATTCATCGGAAAAAAAAAAGAGCAGAAACTATTAACCATGTAATCTCAAGATGCATGAGGTCTGAGATGTTGATGAAGATAGGCAGACAGAGAACCTTGTCCAGATACCAGAGTAAAGAGCACAATCAAAAATTCTTACAGAGATTAGCAGAGGCTGATATAAATTTCAGACCCCAATTACTAACCATTTGCTGGAAAAGCAAAACATTCCCTCCTACCAAACTCGAAAGAAACTAGCTAACAACGGTATGGTCTATCCTTGGCAATGACTGACACTAGCGGTGGGTGAGATCTAGACATAGAAATAGGACAGCTGAATTGTTCATCATTTATATATTTTCCGTTCTTAAATAAAAAAAAATGAGTACAGCTGGGAAGCAAAAAACTTATGAAAATTCTATCAGACCACTACTTTTTGCCACTTAGTAAAAACAAAAGCCTGTTCACCATAAATTGCCCAACAAATGAAGGATCAAAACTAAGTTTGCTCCTAAAGACATATGTTTGAAACCGTTTCATGAGAGAAGCAAAATGTTGAGAGCATATAAATAGAATTACACTTTGCAAAATAACATACCAAGAACTCCGCTTGTCAGATCATTATCCCCTGGAGCACGACAGAATACTAAATCTTGAGGGAATTTCTTCATCAAATATTCAATTATCTTATGACGCGTCAGTGGAACTCTTTCTAGTGCAGTACATGAAAGTTTCATTAATGGCATAGTAAAGGGCCTGATCCCATCTACTTCCTACACCAAAATACGTTTCAGGACAAGGGTAGCAAAACACACAATTTAAACATCAAGCATTATGGAAATATCAAGTTCCCTGGATATAGAAAACACACGAATGACAACAATAAACCCAAAAAGAGAAAAAGAAAAGTTCACTAAAATGGGTATCTGAGAAATGAGGAATAGAGCACCTGGTATTCCCATTCAGCAGCAATAGCCTTAGCAAGAGCGAGAGTGGGGCATTTGAGAGGGCGCTTAGAAGGGGTTTTAAGTGTACGGTAATCAAGCATAACACTCCAACCATTTCCATCTTCAGCCTCTCTAGTTGTCACTTTCTGATAAAACCTCTTTCCCACAATTGATCCAGTCATGAAAGACATAGGCATCGTCACAGATTCCGCTTCTTTTGACGAAGAAGCCTTTTTTGGACCCTTTATGAAGATATTATCATCGATTGCTGATTTTCTCTGAGAATTCGAGTCTCCATCGCCCGAATTCTCAGAGAAAGTGAATGAGGAAGATGGGGCATCAGATTCCGGTTGTACAGATTCTGCTAAGTTACTGAAACTACGAGTTTGGAAAGAGGTTAGGGTTCTAAGAAGGGAAAAGTTCGATGCTTTAAGACTTCTTCTCACGATTTCAGCCGCCATCGCTTGGAGAGAAGACGATGCTACCGTAGAGTTGCTCGATGCAGCTGAAGACGTTGAATTTGCTACTGCTCAGCACGAGGAGCATTCTGTTTTGGGCTTGTGCCCGATAAATTCTCCAGGAAACAGGCCTCAATAAAACAGTTAGGCCCAAATTAATTGTTCAGGATCCATAGATGTAGTCAAGGCCCACTTGGATTAGCTGAATTTAAGTAATTTACCTTAGTCAAAACCATTAATTATTGTAATAATAATAAATTAATAAAAAAATAGATCTTTATCAAAGTACCAAGAAAGTTTATCATAAAAGTTATGTTTTATCATATTTTATTGTGATTATAATTTATTTTCTATCATTTTAAAATTTGATGCAAACAAGATAAATAAAAGCTAAAGCTATGCTAGAAAATAAATGAATTCGTATCAATATTGTCAAAAAATTGAGTTATGTCAAAAAAAATTTGAGTTCCATAATTGATTTGTTTTGGTTGAAGACCTTTTCATTTCTTTTTTAATTAATTAATGTGATTCTTTATTGTTGAATTACTTTGATATAAATATAAGTTGGATTCAATATCTTACTGAAGATAGAAAACGTTAATGTCTTAAGCCTTCAATTGCCTATAACTTATAAGAAATAGCATTAAAAAAATGCATTAGTGACAACTTTCTGTACAACATAATTTCTAATTTGAAATCGCAATCAAATATTCTTTAGAATATATGCATAAATTTATATTAAAGTGAAAAATCATTTTGAAAAAATTACTATAGTTATACTCTTGTAAGTAGCCTGCTTGACATCAAACTTGGTGTCAAGATTGACAAAATTATCTTGTATTTGAACATTCTTTTCAAAAAATTATCAAACTAATTGGACGAGGATTCGTTGAAAACTAAGAATAAAATTCATACTCTTTTTTTCATTTTTGAATAATTTAGACAAGACTAATTCGCTATAATTTAAAAAACAATCCAATCAATCACTTATAGTTGTATCAACAATGCATATTGGCGTGCAAAATTAACATCAATATGAAAATAGCTAGGTGAAAAAGAATAGAATGAGAGGGCACAAAATAAAGCAACACAAGAATTCTTGACAAAATAAATAAAGTTCTATTACTAAGTAATGGTAGTAGCCCAAACTAAACAAGGGTGGGTAGGTGAAATTATTATTTATTAAAAGAAATATACGATCAATCTATTTGAGCAAATCCTCTCTTTTTCGCTTTCTAAGGAATGTCAAGTCTGTTTGTTTATGAATCGAATATACATCAATCTCTCTCGGATTGATTAAACTTTCCATATAAACAAAACCATTTAAGATAAAGGAAAGTGGATCAATATCAAAAGACCATATTCGATGGTCACATGTTCTATAAATAACCTTCATTCCTCGTAATTCATCTGGGCATTCGTATCGAAGTAGCACTTTACCATCGGAAAAGGTATATATGGGTATAATTGAAAAGGCCCCATTACATGGTAATGTGAGTAACTTTATCCAAGATTCCTGAACACCATACTCTTTCATTATCCATAAATTGAAAGTGATGTTGTTACGGTTAAAAAGACAAATCATACTTCCCAACACAGATATGCCCTCTTCAATAGTCACGCTTTCAGGGTATAAAGACATATTTTTGTGTAAGGGTATTCTCTTATATGTCTCATCTGAAATATTTAACGACATCATGGATTCTTCAAAACCAAGCTAGTGAAACGCTCCATTTACAAAGGACAAACATTCCTTACCATACAAAAGAGAAACATCGCCGACAGGCCTAACTGAGGGCGAATAAATTTTTCTCCAGGAACCACTTTTTAGTGCTACAATTTCATCTAGTGTAGAGCCATCCTTGTCAATCCTAAGGACTTTATAATCATCACTAGTCGAGTCATATCCCAATCCATAAGTTGATTCCTGTTCAGGCGATTCTAAAGGGGGAAGTACTATTGATTCTGACGTGGTCGGGTTCCATAGCAATAACATTGAAGGTTCGTCGTCCTGAGAAGGTTCGATCCAAATCCCGATGAGAAACAAGGCAGCGCAACAACAATACATTTTATAACGACTAAATGGTGGTTGTTGACACCCAATTTTGACCCTCCATAATTTAATTATTTTTCAAGCTTCTTCAATTTCAAATAATTTGAAATAATTGTTTTCGAAAATAAAAAATACTTCAAAATCATTTTTTTTTTAATTTTTTTTTTTCAAGACATTTTTGCAATTTTTCATATAGATTATATATTTTTATATTTATAATTTATATATTTTTCAGTTTTTATGAATATTTGGGAAAATCGATAGAAGTTTTAATTGAGTATAATTTATTTCTCTAATATATATATATATTGATTAATTCATGAGTTGATTGGTATAGTCGATCTTTTATTTCAAAGCAATTATTTTATCTTGTTAAATTAAGAAGCTCGATTAACTAATTTTAATTTACATCGAACCGCATTCTTCGAATTCAATTTCTTGATGAAATACATTTATTTGGGTCCAAATTTTAGGCCCAATTTCTCAATAAACCTTCCCACACCCTTAATTATTCAACTATTTTTCTAATCTCCCTATTCCTCACGTACCCAGCCCACTAAACTCATTTCCAAAAGAAACCCAACAACATTTCTTTCAATACAACATACACAGCCAGTAGACAGAGTTCACGGTAACATTCCAACGTTCACATTTTTCAGAAGTGACAAAACGATTCAAGCCCAACAGCCATACAACGTCTTCACGCCTACAAGCGGCATTTATGCGTACAAGCAGTACGCTGCTTTTTTCTTGTCGTCTTCTCTGATTACCTCGACAAACAGTACGCGTAGTACTGTTCAAGCGCCGATTCCAGCTGCAATTTCGTCCTCACCAGCGTGAGATCGAGCCACGTAACTCCTCAAGGACGAAGGATTCAATCCTAGCCCTCCACCTCGCCCTCCTCCCGTTCGAATTTTGTTGAAATTGGGCATCAAATGGGCTTATTCTGGTACTGGTGTATGGGATTTCAGAAATTCGAATTCCAAATTTCTCTTGTTCTTATCCGATTTTACCCTCACTTTTCCCCCCAAATCTGCCCTAGCTCCCCCTCTATATAAACTCTTTTCATTTTCAGTATTGGGAGGAGGAAAAAGTTGGAAAAGTTGGCAAGGATTCACAGATAGAAAAAGAACGGTAGCGAGAGATATAGAGTGAATACATTCGAATACACCTAGGATAGAGCTCTGTTCTTCTTTGTGTTCGTGGTTTGTTGAGACTCGCCGGATTTCTCGAAATTTCGTTGTAGTCGTGGGAAGTTGCTTCTCCGCTTGTTGTTCTCTGTTCGCTGCCCAGAAAGAGGTAAATCCTCTTGACTTTGTTTAAATCCCAGCTGTTCTATGTTCTCTATTTACGTGTTCTTAGCTTCTCTTTAGTTTTCATGTATTAGACTTTGGTTTGACATTTTAGTAGCTAATAATGTTTTCCTTGTTCTTACTGTTAATATTTTGTTGGCTCCTTTGGTGTTCTGTTTGTGTTGCTCATTTGAGATTAGTTCTAAAGGTTATTGTTTACCTTGGTTTTAGTTCCTTGCATTTGTTCTCGTAAATAATAAGCATCTGGATCCATGTTTACACATTTTATTTATAGAAATGTCAAATATATTAGTTCAAGTTCTCTGTTAAGAGTTGTTTTGAAAGTTATATTTTTTCTAGTTTTTCCTTTGGTCTGATGGTTTTGTCTATTGCTCAGGTTCTTCATAGTTGATATTTGTTCAAGTTTTAATTTGTTAGTAACCTATTTTGGTATAATTTCAAGTCCATAACAACAATTGTTGTTTTAAAATGAATTCTAAGTCTATGAATCTTCTTAGTTTCACTTCGAAAATGTTCCTTTGTTTCGTTTAGATCTAATCTTATTCTTGGTGGTTATGTCCTAACTTATTTTCTTTCCTTAATGCTCGTTGTCTCTCTTGTTCGTTTGAGTTTCAATTCCTCTTCCTATCTGCTTTGATTTTAATGTTGAACATGTTCTTCGGGGTTAGCAATCTATGACTCGAAATGATCTAGTGTTGTTTTGGTAATATTTTGGTCTATCTAGTCTTGTATCTTGCAGCAATTCGCATCTTATGATTGAAATCGCAAAATGTTGTTTTCATTAGATTTGAACCTACCTTGGTTACTTCTTCTTATTCTTTCTTTCTTTGTATGTTAAATCGAAGAGATTCAATGATCAATATTGTCTTATTTTGATTATTTTATCACTTCTAAGATGAAGTCAAGCCTTGTAGTAATTTTCCAGAAAAAGAAAAACGGCTACTGTTCATATTTTGAGAGCTAAAGTAGTTTATATCCGACTCATAGTTATTCCCCTGTGTGTTGGATAAATCAGCTTGAATATGAGTTTGTTCGTTTATTTTCTCTCTTCCTCGTGCATTAGTTTACACCTACCAATGTGTTTCTAAACCTTGATCAAGAGAAAGATTAGCTTTCTATGTGTTCACATCCATGTGTGTGTGATAGTGTCACTGTTTTATTTTGTTTTATGTCATTCTATATTAGATTTTGTCCATTGCTAAAAAATGTTGCATGATTTCCTTTCCCCCCCAAATGTTAAATTTCAGTTTCCGTACTCTCTTTTTTTTATTTTTTTTATTTCTTACGTTGGTTTAATCACTACGAGCTCTTGAAGCATTTTCCTTAAATATTTTTGTATGTCGATTAGAATATTAATCCCTTTCCTTTCTTTCCTTGCATATGTGACATCCATTTTGAGTCCAATGGACTCCCCCTTCTTGCATACTCCTCTCTTTTGAGTCAACCTCATCCGAGACGTGAAAGGGAAGCTAATATTAGTGGGACAAAACCCAAACTAATAGCAGCAGCAGTAACAGGGTTGACAGCGGCTTAAAGAGCTGAAATTCAAGTTTTTTTTTTGGACTGTAAAGTCCACTAAAAACAGCAGCAGCAACAACATCTAAAAGGCAGAAAAACGAGGAACAAAATTGGGTTAAAACCTCGACAAACCGGCAGGATGACAGCAGCCCCAAAAGGCTGAAAATTGGACTCTTTTCGGACTTAAAATGTCCAATCTGGGCAGCAGCAAATGGGAAGCAGCAAGTGGACTTAAAGTTGTCCAAATCCTATTTGCACTTTTGTTTCCCTTATATCATGATTTTGTGATACTTGTTTTTTACTTCTAACATTTATTTTATCTAACTTAGATGAATCCTTGGAAGTTTTTTTTTTAAGTAACTCTTCTATTTCGTTAGTTGTTTATTTTAAGTATTTAAATTTTCAAAACTCCTTCAAGTTAGGCAACTTAAGCTCTTAGACTAACTTGAGAATTATCCATATTCTTTCATAGTTAGTAATTAGCTTTGAATCCATGTTCATGAGTTTGAATTAACTATTTGGTTCAAATTTTGACTAGGATAGAGTTGTTAAGTTTTCTCAAACTAAATTAGTTCTCTTTTAAAATAACTTAAAACTTTGTATGAATGACTTAAGGATTTTCTATATCCTTTCATAGTTGTTAAACAATGTCCCTTCATTCATGTTGGTGAGTTTGAATTAATTGTATGACTCAAAACTTGACTGTGGATAAAAATTTCAAGTTAGGATTATTTTATTTTATTTTTTGAGATTTTTACAAGCATCAAAAGATTTTTTTTTATCTAAGTTTCAAACAAGATTTTTATAAGTAATTCTTTTATTTTATAAAATTAGCCAAACTTCTAAATCCGTCGGTCAATCGTGTGTTAGCGAATTCTCTAAGATGCCTAAACCCTTCCTTAGAGAAGTATTTGAACCCTTACCCGACTCTGGTTTTATTTAAAATATTTCCTTTCAAAAGAAAAAAAAAAATTTCTTTTAAAATGGTTTTCTTAATTTTTCCTAAAGAATTAAGTGGCGACTTCCAAATTATAAATTTTTCCAAAACATGTACAAAATTGCCAAAGTTGCGAAATTGGTTTCGAAACCTTAGTTTTCGAAATCGAGTCGTAACAGTGGTTTTGGAACTGTATGTATATCATTAACAAGTAGTCGATTTGGGGATAAAGAAGTGCAATACAAATTTGAATCCATTTTATCCCTAATACGAATAAGCAATTTTCGGGAATCAGGTTGATTTTTGGCATGATTGTGATGCTTCTTCTTAAAGTAAGGCTCAGTTAATAATGTCTTGCAAGATTTCGATACACATTTGAAACGAAAAAGAGACTTAACAGGAAGTTTAGTGAGAATGTCAATAAGTATTTCCTCCTCTAGAATGTGAGTTCCCATTACCATACTGGTGAAGATGAAGAGAATAAGAGGCTTTCAAGTATGATTTAATATTGCTTCTATGTGGTTAAGGGTTAAGTGTAGATATAAACCTATTAATATTGATGTTATGTGGCTTAGGGTTAAGTGTAGATATAAACCTAAAAGGATTGAAGTACTAATTACAGTAATTTTCTTCCATATTTTAAGGATTAGAATTCTTAATTTTTCCTATATTTTTAGTGTTAAAATTTGTATGATATTTTGTCATTAGATTTTTCTTCCATATTTTAAGGATTAGAATTTGTTTATGAGAAGAATTCGTGTAATACCCAATATCAAATACTTTGAATTGAATTATTTTTGGCAAAGTAAACAATAATAAGAGTCCTAACACTGCTGCACCGTCGTTTTTGGTCATATAACCGTAGACCGTAGTAATCCCAAAAATTTTAGTCAACATATGTTAGCCTTTGACAATTTCAATGTTTTAAAATTAAAAATCATTAATAATAAAAAAAATCTTAAAATATATGGCGAGAGAAAAAATAATAATAAGAAATTCTACTTCTATCATAAGTAATTCTATGTTTTCTCCTTTAAATAAATAAATAAATAAATAAAATTAACCAAAAAGGCAACATGCTGCCAAAGTTTCTTCTTTCTCTTACTTTTGAACTTTTTCCCATTATTCAACTTTTTGACTTCTTGTTTTTTACCATTATTTCAAATTTTGCTATTTTCCTTATCTTTAAATAATTTAAATAGGGGGAAAACACTCACAAAAACTCCCGCTGCAATCCGCTGGCGGATTATTCTTGCATATGTTTAGAGTTGATAAATGAAACAAAATATTAATATAACATTATTTAAATTTAAATTTACTGATCTTCATAAAAAGAAATTGATAATTTCTTATGCACTTGTTCAATTGACATGATAATTTCCTTATTCACATTCTTGTATTAATTACGAATAATTACTTTCTGAAAAATTAGATATATACAATCTATTCAAATTAATATTGCGATGAATTCATCTGATGTGTTTATATCATGTAAACAAAAATTGTTCACACATTTGTGAAAGAAGCTTAGTTGATTGAATTACTACTTTTAGATATGAAATTGAAGCTTTGTGTTATTTTCAGATTTCTTTCGAAGTTGTATCAGAAAAATGATTTGTCGCTTCTCAGTTCAGCTGGTGAACCCTTTGGATCCTAATTGTGGGCCTAATCTGAAACGGGCCTAGTCGAATGTAACTGGGCTTGTATTGTGGGGACAGCTAGGGTGGGGGTGTGTGGCTCCTTTTTACATAGGGATAATTGATAGTTGCAATTTTATTGAAATAATTAGATTTAATGTGCTCAAATAAATACAATAATATTCGTTGTGATTAATATTGTATCATCCTAATATACTAATATAATAATAATAAAAAAAGAGAGACTATATATGCATATACAAAGCTTATTTACTACTCCCTCCGTCCCTATTTACTTGTCCATATTTTCTTTTTTAGTTGTCCATTTTGACAAATCAAGAAAAGACAACAAATTTTTTCCTATTATACCCTTATTTACACTTCTTGAAAATTGTAAAAGTGTATGTTGTTTCCCTCCAATTTATTTCACTTGAATTCAAATAAGTGGTTGTAATTTTGAAGTGAAAAGTTGTCATAAGGGTAAAATTGTAACTTCACTGTGCTAATCATTGTTGCCTTAATCTGTGTGTCATTTCTAAAGTGGACAACTAAAAAGGGACGGAGGGAGTAGTATATTTCATCCTCATAACACATTTGAGGTATACACATGCATAAAGTCATATGCGACTTTAATGAAAAATGGGGTAAATACAAAAACTAGGAAAAGCAACTCACATTAGCTAGTTACATAAAATAACAATAATTATGCTTAATCCCTTGGAATCGGCAATAGGATAAAGTTACAGCTCATGATTAGCTAGTTATGTCAAAACAAATATTAAATGACACATGAACCAGAAGGACTGGACCATGGTTCATCAATTTTAACCATGAAATCCTCATTCAAATGGGACAATTTCACTATTGATCTTACAAGTGCTTTGTTTCTGGGAACCAAAAATCCTCATTTCACCAACGCCTTTTATTTCAACTTCAACTGAATTAGATTCATCGTCCAGCTCAATCGACTGAATCACCCCATCTGTATTGAGCATATTCACCAGCCCAATTGGAGTAAATTGGACTAATTTGGTTCCCAAAATTGTAACAAGAGAAACCGTTAAAAGCTCGAAATTAAAAGGCTCGAGAGTGATTTGGACCCTGTCTGTAGGCTTTACCAAACCCTTCTCCACTACAGCCCTTCCAGTGAACCTTCTCATAACTCTGAACTGCGGATCCTATTAGGTATTCATTCTTCCTACATCATATCAAATCCTTCAAAAGTCAGAAGGCCACAGGAACCCTATTCAAACCATGTCCGATCACTCTTCTCCTCACACTGCACTGTAGTCCCTCTCAGTAAAACTCACACTGTTCCTAGCACCATTTTCCCCATCATAATTTATTCTTCAGTTCACTGAATTAAACCTTGAAGAGAGTTCAATTTTCTACCAGGGTTTAGTAGTGTGCTTGGTGGGCAGAATATACTGCTAAATGAAACTTTGGTATAGTGGGTAGTTCACATTTAAAAGGAGCAATGAAATTCCGGAGATAAAAATCAGTGCTGTATTATTGTTACTGTCATTTCCTCCAATAGCTCTAATATGGGGTAGCAGAATTGTGCTATCACAAAATACTCCCAAAAGCTAGTGAGATAATTGCATTATTTAAGATCAAATCATTCATGGGAAAAAAAAGAGAGCCAAAACTTTTAACCATGTAATCACAAAGATACATGAGGTCGGAGATGTTGATGAAGATAGGCAGAGAGAGAGAGCCTTGTCCAGATGCCAGAGTAAAAAGCACAATAAAAAATTCTTACAGAGATTAGCAGAGGCTGATAAAAATTTCAGACTCCTATTACTTCTTGGCATTACTAACCATTTGCTGGAAAAGCAAAACATTCCCTCCTTCCAAACTCGAAACAAACTAGCTAACAAGGGTATGGTATATCTTTGGCAAAGACTGACACTAGCTGTGGGTGAGATCTAGACTTACAAATAGGGCAGCTGAATTGTTCATCATGTATATGTTCCGTTCTTAAATAAAAAAAAATGAGGACAGCTGGGAAGCAAAAAACTTACGAAAATTATATCAGACCACTACTTTTTGCCACTTAGTAAAAACAAAAGTCTATTCACCATAAATTGCCCAACAAATGAAGGATCAAAACTAAGTTTGCTCCTAAAGACATATGTTTGAAACCGTTTCATGAGAAAAGCAAAATGTTGAGAGCACATAAAAAGAATTACACTTTGCAAAATAATATACCAAGAACTCCGCTTGTCAGATCATTATACCCTGGAGCACGACAGAATACTAAATCTTGAGGAAATTTCTTCATCAAATATTCAATTAGCTTATGACGCGTCAGTGGAACTCTTTCTAGTGCAGTACATGAAAGTTTCATTAATGGCATAGTAAAGGGCCTGATCCCATCTACTTCCTACACCAAAATACGTTTCAGGACAAGGGTAGCATAACACACAATTTAAACATCAAGCAATATGGAAAATATCAAGTTCCCTGCATATAGAAAACACATGAATGACAAAACAATAAACCCAAAAAGATAAAAAGGAAAGTTCACTAAAATGGGTATCTGAGAAATGAGGAATAGAGCACCTGATATTCCCATTCAGCAGCAATAGCCTTAGCAAGAGCGAGAGTGGGGCATTTGAGAGGGGGCTTAGAAGGGGTTTTAAGTGTACGTTAATCCAGCATAACACTCCAACCATTTCCATCTTCAGCCTCTCTAGTCATCACTTTCTGATAAAACCTCTTTCCCACAATTGATCCAGTCATGAAAGACATAGGCATCGTCAAAGATTCCGCTTCTTTTGACGAAGAAGCCTTTTTTTGGACCATTTATGAAGATATTATCATCGATTGCTGATTTTCTCTGAGAATTCGAGTCTCCATCGCCCGAATTCTCAGAGAAAGTGAATGAGGAAGATGGGGCATCAGATTCCGGTTGTACAGATTCTGCTAAGTTACTGAAACTACGAGTTTGGAAAGAGGTTAGGGTTCTAAGAAGGGAAAAGTTCGATGCTTTAAGACTTCTTCTCACGATTTCAGCCGCCATAGCTTGGAGAGAAGGCGATGCTACTATAGAGTTGCTCGATGCAGCTGAAGACTTTGAATTTGCAACTGCTCAGGACGAGGGGCATTGTGCTTTGGGCTTGGGCCCGATAAATTCTCCAGGTAACAGGCCTCAATAAAACATTTAGGCCCAAATTAATCGTTCAGGATCCATAGATGTAGAGCCCGTTTGGATTGGTTTAAAAGTCGGTCAAACCTACTTTTAAGCCAGTTTTTGACTTCTGAAAGTGTTTGACAAATATAAAAAATAACTTAAAATAAGTCAAAAATGACTTAAAATAAGTTACGAAGTGTTAGGCAAGATAAAAAATGACTTATAATAAGTCAGAAACCAAAAGTAGGTCTCCCCCCTACTTTTTATTTTTTGACTTAAAAGTCATTTCAGTTTGACTTTTTATTTTTGACCTAAAATTACTTTTTTAAGCCAATGCAAACGGGCTCGTAGTCAAGGCGCACTTGGATTAGCTGAATTTAAGTAATTTACCTTAGTCAAAACCATTAATTATTGTAATAATAAAAAATTAATATAAAAAATTAGATCTTTATCAAATTACCAAGAAAAATGATTATAGCCTCTATTATATTATATTCCAATTTATGTAACACAATTCAAATTTTGATAACAAATTAAGTTTGATCATGAATTACATGAAATCTTCAAATTTTTTAAAATAAAATTATATATTAAAAAATTACATAATAAGTATTATAAATCAAAATAATTTACAATGAAAAATATTTAATAATATATGAAAACTTACCGTCAAAGAGGAGGGAGCATTTTTATTGTGGACACGTGGCTTACATATGAACAAAATAATAATGGAGATCCTTTCCGCCTTTACGGTATAATTTGTTTAACTTCAAATCACGCATCATATTTTCTAGCTTACCAATAGAAAAGCACTTTGGTATATAGATATCTGCAACTGCTATATTCGCTATAAGAAAAATAATTTTTAGCAGTAATATATATATTTTACGATATTAGTTAACTATCATTAGATTTAATGTCGTTATATGTTTTAGCGGCATTTTATAAAGAGTGATAACATGTGCTTGTCATTAGTAATTGCCTCTATATATATATTATGCGATAACTAAGCTATTATTATTATTATTAATTGCTACTAAAAAATTATTTTTGATATAGTGATTACGTCATGGTGCATCTGATAATATATCATAGTAGCACATTTGAAAATCACTATGTTGCGCTCAGACAATCAATTGAATTTGAGCCCATTAAGTCCTTTGGTGCCAAATGCCAATCAACTAGTTATTAGCTAACATAGTTATACTTTGAATTAATTACGGCTCACAGCTTAAAATTACCTATAATTATGTCATTTATATATATACAAAATACACACAAAAAATACAATTAGCCTATCTCCATTCCCTGCCCTGTCTCACTCGTTTCTCTCCTTCCTCTCCCAATCTCGCTCGCCAGATATACAAATAAATATATATACCAGTAACATATATACAGTTATCTGACAGATATACATATACGCAATTAGCCTATCTCCATTCTCTGCCCTGTCTCACTCGTTTCTCTCCCTCCTCTCCCAATCTCGCTCGCCAGATATACATAAATATTTATACCAGTTATATATATACAGTTATCTGACAGAAATACATATACACAATCTCTCTCTCTTCTCTCCTCCCTCTCCTAATCTCCCTCGCCAGATATACAAATACATGTATATTATATAAGTTACATATACAATTATTTGACATATATACATATACAATTCGACAAATATACATATACACTTCGTTTCTCTCCACTCTCTGCTCTCTTTAGCTTGCCCTCTCTCTCCCAATCTCACTCGCCTCTCTCCTCCCTCTAACATGTAGCTACTAATTGTAATTAACAAACTATAATTATGGAGCACAATTAAGTTATTTTGAGTGGCTATTTGCAAAAATACCCCATTTCAAAACCATTAATAATTCTACTAATAATAAAATTCATTTTTAAAAAATAGATTTGTATCCAAGTACCAAGAAAAGTGATTATAGCCTCTAATACTTCATATATCCCAATTTATGTGGCACAATTCAATTTTTGATGTTGAAACAAATTAAGTTTGATCGTGAATTTGGGCATGAAATCTTCAAAAAATTTAAATAAAAATTATATATTTTAAAAATACTACTATAAGTCACAATAATTACAATTCAAAATATCTAAAAATTATATGAAAATTACCATCAAAGATAGATTAGTTTAAATCTTAAAATCAGGATAGGTAACACATAAAGTGAGATGGAGGGAGCATTTCTATTGTGGGCACGTGGCTTACATATGAACTAATAATAATGGAGGGATCCTTTCCGCCTTTCGGGTATAATTTGTTTAATTTCTAATTATATGCATCATATTTTCTAGCTTACCAATTGAACGCAAAGCACTTTGGTTTATATATGATGGGTGAAAGGGACGTGAATATGGACTAAATATGGGCCACATTCATTACTTAATAATGTAAATAAATTAATATTTTTTGCAATTTATAGTATTTTTTGTATAATTTTTTGAATATTTTTTTTTAAAAAAAATATAATATTAATGTAATCCAATCTAAGTTTGAAATTTTAGTCAAGTTGACTTTTGAAAAACAGAATATGAGAACAAAAAATGGATTGAGACTATTATTGACTTTCAAGTTATATTGGGAGTAGCATCAAAATAAATGATGACATGCCCCATACTCTTTGTCTGTCTATATTTTCTAATACTCCACTAGACACAACAATATTTAAGATTCTATTCTCCTCTTTTTTTTGAAAGAATCTATACTCTGAGTCTCATAGTTCTCTTTTTTTAATATGGCTTCTTGGAATTCAGTTCCACTGGAAGTGTTGTATAATGTTTTGGGATGGATTGCGTTTGTCTCATGGTCTATTAGCTTTTATCCTCAGGTCATTTTGAATTTTCGTAGGAAAAGGTTATTTTCTGCTTTTATAATTTAACTTCTTTTATGAGTAATATTTTGGTTAAATTTCAGTTTCTGATCAATTCTTTTTTTAACTTTTTAGTGTGGTGGGATTGAATTTCGATTTTGTGGTGTTGAATTTGACGAAGCACTCGTCTTATCTCATCTACAATGCTTCCATGTTCTTCAGTTCTGCTGTTCAAAGGCAATATCATCATCGATACGGCGAAAATGAGGTTAATAGTGTGAATCGCGCTATGTTTATGCTGTTGTTACACGTATGCTTTTTGTTTTGTGCTAATTAACCCTCACTGTTTAACTTCAGATGATACCTGTAGCTGCCAATGATGTGGCTTTCTCTACTCATGCTGTTCTTTTAACAGCCTTTACCTTGTTTCAGATTTCTATCTATGATGTAAGTGTACATATCTTGTTTACTCTTTTCGGTTCAAATGATTAATTTGGTTAGAGAACTTTTCAGCGTGGAAATCAGAAGGTATCGAAAACTGCTATAGCAATTGTATCTGTTGCTTGGTTAAGTGTTGCAGTTTGTGTGTTTGTGGGTATCCCTAAGCATTCCTGGCTATGGCTAATCTCCTGTTTCAAGTAAGCCAACCTTCTTTTAAAATCCACAATTACTTGTATTAAACTCACATTTTTTGTCTTGTTCAATCCATTGTCGCTAGCTTTTTTATTCTCATTATAATAGATACTCTAGTAGTTATTTGTGGGGAGGGTTAATTTCATGTATATATTATTATCACTCAACTGAAATCTATCTCACACTTCTTTCTCTTAATTGCAGCGGATTGCAGGTTGCTATGACAGTAACCAAGTACATTCCCCAGGTTGAAATTCTTGCTTTGTTTGAGAAAAAAAAGTCACATTTTCTTACCAATTGCTTCTAATTTAGTGCTCTTTTGTTACAGTTATTTTTATGATATATAGTCAGTCGTCTGCTTATTTGACAATTTCTTAGTTTACTTCCAATGCTTAAGAATTTTGGCTATGAAAAATCTATATATAGGCTGTTATGAACTTCCGGAGAAAGAGCACTATTGGTTTTAGTATTGGTAACATTTTGCTGGATTTGTTTGGAGGTTTAACAAATTACGGGCAGATGGCAGTGCAATCTATAGATCAGCGTGAGTTTCTGATTTTCAATAATATAATCTTCCTATATGCAGTATCTAGTTTTTGTCCTAGTTATGAATGATTGTGTATATATATATGCGCCTAATAAAGAGTATTTGATCTACTTTTGCTACAGATTCCTGGGTGAATTTTTATGGAAACATCGGCAAGACATTGTTGTCATTGGTATGAAACGTTCAACTGTGGTTTTACCTATATACACTCCGTCTTTGTTTTTGATCTAATGAATGCTGCAGGTGTCGATATTCTTTGACATTCTCTTCATTGTGCAACATTATGTGCTATATCCTTCAAGAAAAGAAGTTGTTTCTCCTAAATTTAATGTGGTAAGAGAGAATATATCCATCACTCAAATCTTCCTATCATAATATCTTATTTATGATTCATAAAAATGCATCTTTTCTTCTTCCTAAAATTAAATGTTTCTAGAGCAAATAGTTGTTGTTTATAATTTATCCATCACTCAAATCTTCCTATCATAATATCTTATTTATGATTCATAAAAAAGCATCTTTTCTTCTTCTTAAAATTAAATGTTTCTAGAGCAAATAGTTATTGTTTATAATTTGGTTATATATGTGCATAACACATATGATACTTCTTCGTGTATTACTCAGGAGGAAACAAGGGACATTGAGGGACGGTGATTGCTGCCCTATTCAGTTGCTTGTAAAACAGAGGTTATTAATTAAGTGGAATTTGATTTACAACTTTCTCAAGTCATCTTGGTGTACGTTAAAGGCACAATCTGTACAACTCCAGTACTCTTCTTTGAGTCGAAACATAGTTAAAGAAGATGTAGCCGTTTGGTCATCAATATCATTTGACATTTGGAGTATTTCAAAATCAATAAGTAGTTTCTTTATTGATTTGGTCTATC